AAAGTCTGAGCTCCCTGCAGATGTGCTGGAAGTGGGGCTGGCATCCAGGACCAGCCGCTCAGTGGTGCAGTTTACAACACCAGTGTCCTCCCAGGAACAGCGCTGGGGCATGAGCTATTCCTGGGTGCACGGTCCCAACCCAGGTCCTCGAGCTCCTGGGCTGCTTGTGAGCATGACCCATGGTGTCTCGGTAAATGCATTTTCATTTAAATTGCCAAAGAAGGTTCCTGCTGTGTGCAAATCAGAACACTGACTGGTGCACTGGTAACCAGTACAGGTCCATGGTCTCCAGTGTTCATCTTCATGATCTGGGACAACACAGATCAGCAGGAAAGGGTGTGTGAGTTTCCACTGAATATGACTAATTCCAGGGAGCATACAACCCCCTACGGCCCCTCGTTTATTTTTATTTTGCTCCATCTAAAAGCACTGGAGGGGGAACAATGAATTGAGAGCTCAAATTAATGAAAGTATTATAGTTATTAATTTTAGTTTGAGAATTACTTAAGATTTATATTGCCCTCTGAGCTTCCTGTTTTTTTTTTTTTCCTTTCCAACAATCAGTGACTTCACTTTTCATTATCACACTGGCTGTATTTCTCCTGCATTTGTGAGTTTTAAGATTTAAGGTTGGCTATAACTGTCACTATTGATTTAGTCCCATACAGCTACTTATAATGAGTTTTCCTCCCAGATAGTTAATTGTTATTTTTCTAAAATATAATAAAGATCAAAGTTTCTGTTTAAGGTGACTTTAAAGTCTTAGAAAAAAGATGACCTCATCTTCCCTCCCTTCTTTCTGCTGGGGAGGAGAATGCTCAGCTTTCTGTTGCAGTGAGCTAAATTTCTTACTCGAATACAACCGAAGACCTTTCAGCTTATATTTCTGACAAGAGCAACTGTGACTGGAGGTGACGTCTTTTTCAAAAGAGGTTAATAAGCACGTGACACTTCCTAATAGCACTAAGTGAAATTTAGGTCAAACTTAATTAAACTGAGAAGTCATAATTTGACCTAATGTCCGCTTCTGTCATAGATTTAACAAATCCAAACCGTTTTAAAGCTGTTTTTATGGCTAAAGATTCTGGGAAATGTCATCTCTAAGTATAAAAAATGGCACATACTTCTGCGTTTCTTTCTTGTCTACAATATACCAGTATTTTGTGTAAAATCCAAGGCAGCCACACTTAATTTTATGGGTCCATTCTGCCACCACTGAGCTAGGATGTGGAGCTCAAGGGGGATGTGCCAAAATAATTCAAGTGGCAGGTCCTGCCTCGGAACAGTAAGCGGGTAAATAAATCACTTGGCTTCTGAGACGGAAGTGCTGAGTCAACAGCATGGAAATTATACCTCAATTTTCTATTTTTATGATGGTCTCACGTCGCAATTTTTTATACTTGCGCATTTGTATATTTGACAATGATCCATCTGTCAATCTTCCTGATTTTGTCTTAAATCATGCAGGGCTTCATGCAGCAGTGTAAGCAAGCGGCCAGCACTGCTCTGAGCTGCCCAGACGCCTTCCCTGTAGGCCCCCCACCCCCACAGCAACAGACTGGAACGCCTCCCTCAGCGGCCTCCTACCCACAAAAACACGGCTTTCACAGTGCCCGATTCAGGTCGCACGAAACAGCGGGTCTGCCTTAAGACACTAGAGAGGAGGACACCATTAGAAACAACTCAGGTTCTCCTGGTGTTCACTGTCAGAGCCTGCTTGGATCATGTGGTCCGTGAGCAGTGAAGGCCCTGTCTCTACCTCCCTGCTTGGTCGACGGGGGACGTTCACTTAACTTGTCTGAGCCTCAGTCTCCTCCATCTGAACAAAATGATGAACTTACCCCCAGTGAGGTGTGGGGAGATCCAACCAGATGCTACCTGGAACCGCAAGGCCCAATACTCTGGTCAGAGAACGCGTGTGTCCTGAGGGTGAACGTCTTCTCGCCTAAGTTGCAGGCCCGGGACCTGCGACCTGAGCTAACTACACTGAGGGACAGGGAACCCTTGATTCTCGCTGGCAAGGGAGAGCTACAGCCAGGCCATGGCTTCGATCTGGTGGACACTCACGCCATGGGCTCACTGCGGAGGGGACTCATCGCTGCCACAGAACTACTTCACACCGGAGGCTGGACTCTTAACAAAAAACCGCGCCTGGTTTCTCCAAAGTGATCGGTATCTGCAGCTAAAGGGATCGAATTCTGGTCTTTTGATAAGGTTGAGTCAGCTCTGAGCATCAGCCGTGCGACCACATGAGATACTGCGCGGGGCTGAGTCCCTCACTGACTGTGGGACCAGAAACTGTTTACAAAGGGGTAAGCCGTGGCAGAAGGCGTCAGGTGTGAGGGGTGAAGTGCCACGGGAGGTCAGAGCAAGGAAAATACTTCCAGCTCGAGAACTCAGAGGGCCACGGACAGAGGTTTTTGTCACATGAAGATGGCAGAAGTGCAGTTCAGGCCAAGAACAGCACAAGTCGCGGTGCCCAGGAGTAAAAGCATCAGACTCTGTGGTGGAGAATGGCCTTTAGTGTAAAACTGCAGAGTTGGGAGGGATGCTTGGGGCTAGATGACGAGAGTCAGAGCGCTATCCGTGAAAACCATTCTTGCAAAGTAAAAACGATCCCCTACCCTGTATCTCCATGTAACGTTAAGACCCCACTGTAGTCTGCAGTCATAAAAACCTGTCCACCGTGTGACTCGGCCTTCCCCCGAAGAGCAGGGACCCCTTCTGAGAGTGGCAGGTGTCCCCACAGAACATGGCCCGTGACTGCACGGCCGAGGCCCCACCCCATCTGGCAGTGTCCCTCCCCACCCACTAGGCACCTGGCAGAGGGGAGGCGCCTTCCCGCTCCCGCCGGGGCCGGTCTAGAGGACGTCGTGCCAACTGGCAGGCCCACAGTGCGGACGGCCGTCAGTCCTCCTGAGAAGGCGTGCCAGACAGTAACGCGTCAGCGGAAGACAAGCGTCCCCGCTCAGCGACTGCACGTGTGCTGCTGGTTCTGCCAGTTCTGCTCCGAGGGGAAAACGGAAACGCCCCACGCCTTTACACACTCAAGTCCAGTATTTGGAACTGAGGGAGGATTACAGCTTTTTGTGCTTTCGATAGTTTTACACCAAGGCATTAATGGTATTACTTCTGGGTAAATGGAATTATGGACTTAATCATTTATTTACCGGCTAGTCTGTATTTGCTGTTTTTCTGAAATACTCCTTTATAAAAATATTCAACCCGTAAGAAATTCAGAAACGTTCAGGGTATTTCCCTTATGTGTGTAAACATTCATAAACTTCAGTGTTGTGTGTTTGACAAATCTCATTAGGCACTTGTGGGTCAAGCCCTACAGAAAGGCCGTGGGAGCGGGAGCCATGGGTGTCCCCTCGGACCGTGGGCTCTGCTCGCAGCCGTCCCCCACGCCTGCTGTAACTTGCGCTACGACTCATGGAAAACTAATGTTTCCACTGACCGGCCGTGCCTCAGGCTTCTGCCTCTCTGGCTTCCTGGGGCACTTTGCTGAGATACCACCTGCTGGGGGGGGGGGGGCTTCTTTGACCCCCGTGTCCAAGTCGCTTCACTTACTGAAAAAGCCTCTGCATGTTCACTCTGTACCTCACTGATTATAAGGAAATGCCCAATGAGGGTACAGTCTGACTCAGGTGACTCAAGGCTCCTTGCCGTGTGGGGGCCCTCCCTTGAGCTGCAGGGACACTGCTGTGTGTGAAGATGGGGTGCTGCCTCCTCAAAGCCAGAAAACCCCTCCATCCTGAAGCATACCTGGCCCCACGTGTTTTGGCAAGGGACCATGAGCCTGCATTGCTTTTTAGGATACGCTTGATCTCTGCCGACTTTCACTGATACTAACCATTCAGAAAAAGGAAAAGTGGCTGAATATGAGTTGAGAATAAAGCAAACAAACAAGTGGAAAAAAACGTAAAATGTACGAAAATATTTCAAGATGCTGCCAAGATTCCAAACTAGCACCATGCCCACGATGGCAATGCCCCTCTGGATGTAGTAGAAAATTAGAAAAGAAAAAAAGAAAGAAATAAAGAAAGAAAAACCCATCTGCAGCTAATGTTTCTGAAGCAATCACATCAGACCAGTCACATGGCAAGAGGCCCTCCTTGGCCAATATCTGTGGCAGAGCAGCACCCAGAGTGCCGGTGAGGACGCGGCCGCCCCGGAGCTTTCTGAGGTCACCCGTGGGGGTGACTGTGACCTCTGGGGTCAGAAATGCAGGACAGTGGGTGGGCAAGTCGGGAGGAGACCTGTGTCAACATGCCCCCTTCCAGCACCTGCTGTGACTGGCGTTTCTATCTCTCAATATGTTCGAGGAACAAAGTCTACAGCTGTGCCCTGTGATGGAATTCCTATGTGGCTTCCCTGTCCTCGTGTTCAGGCAGCCCTGACCCGGGACAGAATCTCCACAGATGGGTGTGCCAGTGTTCAGGGTTCAAAGAAAGAAAGGAATAGTGAGGATGGTCACAGGTGGGCTTTTAGCCACAGTTGCCACAAGAGTATCTTACGAGGACTGCCTCACACCCATGCCACAGAGGTGCAGCCAATCACGACTGATCACTTCCAGACTGCCATCCCAGCAGCCAATTCCCAAGTCTGCTAAAGTACCTGGCATTCTTCCTACAGAAATTACTGCCTGTACAGGATTTCTTGCCACAGTGAAACCTGTGTCTAGTATGGCATCTTTACAAAGCCTGACTTCAGGAGTCTGGGCCAACTGCTACTCACGTTAACAAAAGTTAAACTGTTTCAGTACAGAATAAGTTCTACGAATGCTAGTTATGAGTCATGGCTACTGACAAACGCAGAGTGAAAAAAAAGAAAAAGAAAAAAAACCACAAACAAGTGTGTACCAATCACATGCATTTGATTAAAGCGTGTCTTGTACGCGTAGCTCAGCGTCGGCCAAGGAGACTACCCCCACTACTCTGTGTGCCTGAAATTTACAAGTCACTCTGACTGGGGCACTTAGGGATCCATGAACCCACCTGCAAGCAAATGGCCAGGTTCACTCTGCAGCCGAAGGAGGTGCTCACGGCCCGCGGGTGGAGACCCAGGTCTTTAAAGAGCTTTGAGAAAGACTGGGTGAGCGCTATCCGAGGCCGCTCCTCTGCCACGACCACACAGGTCCGCACGCGGGACAAGTCCAGGCCCCGTGCCTAGAAGCAAGGACAGCGGTGAGACGTCAGCCTTTCAGGGCTCAAGGGTGTGACCTTCTCAACCAGATGGGTGGAAGTCACACACACTCCACACAGATACTCACTCCCGGGGGCTGGTGTCCACATTGCTAATTAAACTGTCCTAGGACATGCGCGTGGAAAAAGAAATCATTCAGGTACCAGATTATCAAAGACGCCACCATAAACAGATCTTAAAAACCAGCAAGATGCAGCAGCAAGCAGCACGAGGAGGCCAAGCAAGGTCCTGGACAAAGTAATTGAGGGACAGGGTGTGTGGAAGCAAGGGAGCACCCGGACACACGCCTGTAAGACACGGGTACACAACAGCACACGCTGCCCATGAGTGAGAAACCCTGTGTTTAATGTAACAGTGGAAAAGACACATTCCTTCTGGGTCCCATGAGACTTAAAAGGTTACGCCAAATTCTCACAATTAAGAATGTCTGAGCACACCTCAGTTCTGCGCCAAATCCAGTGAACTGACCTGGAGGAGGGCCTCCCATGAGGGGAGCACGAGACTCTGTGCGGAGGGCGCTTCCCGGCTGGGCTGGGGGCCCGTGGGGTGGAAGGAGCCGCGTTTATGTGGGCGGCGGGTGGCGAACGATGGTCTCCAGCAGAACATGAGCAGTGGGAGGACGTGCGGCACAGGCAGAGCCACGCAGCCCTCCCGGACCCCCCCCCCCCCCCCCCCCCCCCCCGCACAGTGGCCTGAGCACAGGGCACGGACACAGGCTCCTGAACAGTGCAGGAGACACCAGCTCAGGTCACTCTGGCACCGGGAGCTCGTGCACAGATAGGACCTCACAGACAAAAATCACACAGAAAACATTAAAACTGGGTGATACCAACGATCGTTCACACAGTTGCGTGTTTGGGGCGGCAGTGCAGCCTGCGTCTCGAGATGGCGGACCTGGATGGAGCCAGACATTCCAAACAGGGCTCCAAAATTCATTAAGTGTAAGAACTTGCTAAGGGTGCCCAATTTCTCTGTCACGTAAGTGTCCTCATCTTTAAAATGGAGACAGTAGTGTTTCCACTTCACACACCCGTTGTAAAGGTTAGATGAATCAACACGTAAAGTGCTTAGAAAGCACTCAATTGCGTGATCATTCGTGAAAGGTACTCCATGATTTTATAAAACAATACGGGTGGATGTAAGTGATAAGCAGGTCTTACAAATTTCTTTTCCTATATATATTTATAATTTCAAGAAATTACGCCTTTATTTACATAACTTAATGTGAATGTTATCTCGTATTTCTTTTCTTAAGCTTAATGCATTAGTTCTAAACAGGAAAACAAAATTCAGGATATAAACGTATTGCATAAGTATTTATATATACTTATTTATATATACAGACAATTTACGTACGCCCACGCACACACACATACACGATATAACCTATATATACAAAAAAAAGATATAAGCAATGGATAGTATCAGAATATAAATCAACACAGGTGTATGACTATTCTCTCCTCCCTCCTTACTTGGATGATGACTACTTCATTTACCATGAAAATATGTCTATCAAAATGTTATTGGTTTAAGTGGAAGGAAATGCTAATATTTTGATTAGGATGCACACCTATAAATCAGGGTGATCGAGGAAAACAAAAACGAACAGCTAAATTCAAATTATCACTTGAACACCAGCATCACAGTAAAATTAACTCCACGGAACAAGGGAATTCACCAACAGAAGAAAAGGCAATTTAGGGCCTTTCAGGCAGACCTAATGGAATCACAGACGACAGTGCCACACACCCTGACCTATAACTCTTGGTGGCAGTGGGAAATCATCTTCTAAACTAAGGTTTTCACATGAAATCAGTCTTGGAAGCTTCTGGTGACAGCGGATTATATCTCGGTTTTTGTGGACAATCATTTTAGCACCAGCAAACCCTCCCCATGCCCTCTGACAGCGAGCTTCCCTAGGATGCTGGCAGGTGTTCCCCTGGAAGCCGGGTGACAGGCTGCTTACCTTGAGTGATTCTGTCTGTGAGCCCAGCCCCTTGGTACAAAGTTCCATCACTGAATAGGAGCAGAACGTGTCCCGGACTTTGTACTGACTCACGGCAAGAAGCCACAAGGCAGGGTTGGTTTCCAGCTCAGAAGGCGGGATGAGAATGGACTGGTGCCCAGAGTACACGCTGCAGAGACAGACAGAGGGGCCGGGTGAGCAGGGGGCCGCAGACATGCGCTCGGCCCTCCAGGTTTGCAAACACAAAATGAAAGCGAGCTCATGGAGACACAAAAGAACTATAGGAATCATGGTTCAGTGGCTGCCTTTTTGAGCACTCATCTGAAAATGTAAAAGCGGAGAGGCTGTTACATTTCTCCCAAAGCCGCTACCTTAGCAAAATGCAGGAAACGCGGGGATGAATTTATAAAACTGTATGCTTTCTTTAGCGGAGCGTCTAATCAAGTCCTTTGTCCATTCTTCTTAGGTCATCTCTAGGCCCAACGTGGAGCTTGAACTCATGACCCTGAGATCAAGAGTCACACACTCCACTGATGGAGCCTCCAGGCCCCTTGTCCATTTAGTTTTCAACTGGCTTTTATTGCATTACTGATTGAGGAATTTTAAACCCCAGTATGTTGAAACCAAAATTCAAGACGTGCGAGAGTCATCCGACGGTGAGTAATTCACATGCACACACACGCTGTCGTAAAGCTGCACGGCTTTCTCTTTTACTTCATTACTTAACAGTAACCTGGAAGCTGGGAATGTTCCTTAATCTGATCGCCTAGGAAGGAACAGCACAGTGAGTAAAAGAGAGCACCGCCATACTCCGTTTCAACAACCATACGCCATTCACTATGTGCACACACGCTGTATCGGCTGCACTCGGGCATCTCCGAGCTCACTCAACTGCCACTGTTACTTTGGTGAGTAACAAAGTCCCACGTAAACCAATCTTCCCTTTCAAATGAGAGTACTTCCTCCAGGGAGGAACAAATACTGACTCGAGAGAGTGGGGAGAAGCGTGCGGAGGAAACCCCACATCAGGAGCCGTGGCCCCACCACATGCCTGGGCATGCCAGCAGAGAAGTGAAAATCATAAGCAAGAACTTAACAAGTAACTGATACAACCTTTGGATGCATTAGAATCAATACCACTTAAAAGACCCTGTTTTTGCTTCAGAAAGCGCTTTAGTCCATCACTACGTACCCCTCCGACGGTCCTTCAGGAAGGACCTGCTGTGATGCAGTGTGACAACTAAGGGGCTGCCCGGCAGCTGCCAGGGCTCAGGATGGCATGACCCCCCCACCTTGACCTGTGACCTCTCTACCCTTCACAGGTGTGGCCCCCACACCTTTCTGCTAATGCCAACCCCTGACAGCTTTCAGAGGTCATACACTGCCAATATGGAACATTTCATGAAGAATACGGTCTTTTTAGACCAACAAAACGGGTTTGCTGGCAGATGGGTTCTCAAGGCAGATCCCACAAATCTTACATCCAAGACATGTGTTTAGAAACTGCTCATTAAAGGAAGACAGGATATGTAACCACATCTGAACACAGTGACATCTGTGCGGAGAAGCAAACGCACACGCCAAAGTACCAGCACAGGTGGCACACATAAGTGGGACGAGGGGTGTTTTTCTGGCCCTTTATTATTTTCTAGAATACTCTCATTCATTTCTATAGAATGTAACACACACACACACACAGACACACACACACACACACACACAATCTCTAACCCGGAAACATCCAATCATACATTTCTTATCAAGATGACAAACCACGGGAAGTTGGGAGTACTTCAGTACTTCTAATGGAGAACTATTTATCACAACATGAGTCGACAACCACCGTGTGTGGGAAGACAACCTAAGTGTTATTTGAGGAAGGAGGCGTGATAGCCAAGTGGGAGCAATTTTTTTTTTTTTGGAGAGAGACAGAGACAGAGAGCACATGGGGGAGGGGCAGAGAGAGTCCCAAGCAGGCTCCATGCTCAGCACAGAGCTGGACTCTGGGCTCGATCCCACGACCTTGGAATTGTGACCTGAGCCAAAACCAAGAGTTGGATGCTCAACCAACTGAGCTACCCAAGTGCCCCAAGTGAGAGCAGCTTTTTAAGAGATAACTTTATTAATGAGAACGTTTGGATCTTTCTCAATCCTTCCGAGTCAGTATGAGAATAGACACTCTGTATTTAAAGGGTTAACCAAAAGTGGGACTAGAATCAGAACCAGTTCCGAGCTGATTTTAGATGAAATTTCAAGAGCTCTGAGGATCCACTACTGTTCTTAGTAACCAGGAGAAAAGAATAGCATACGCACAACTTTGAAGTTTCCTTTGAAATCCTGCCGATGGGGAAGTTTTGCCGGGCACGCGGTGACACAGAGCGAGTGGCACACCCCAGTGGGTCCCTAGTTAAGGTGCAGTAAGTTACTTCTATAGTCAATGTCACAAAGTCACTGAGGACCCACTCTGATGATTATAGTGCTCTGAATTCTGTCAGGCTTTCTGTAAGATTTGTCCTTGGGAAGCTAACTTAGGTCATTAAACATATTACTCGGGAGATCAAATAACATCACCACAAACCTACCTGCATTATGAAGCCCAGGCACCCCGTTTCTGCAGCTGCTTACAAGTTGTCCACTACAACTGCAAGTAACAACCCATCACACATTTCTGTACAAATGTGGCCTAGAGTTTGCAGTCTGTGAAAACAAACTTTTCCAGCAGTTCTCCTATACAGAACTGAGATTCTTTAAAATGAAAGTTTCCCTCTGGTTTAGGAAGTTGGCACGTCTTGTGTTCTCACTTTTGGGGCCTATTTGTGCTATTTTCAAAGTAACCTTCCAAGAATTACACACTTGGGGTCTGACACCAACCAAACGTCCCCATTTGCTGTACTAATATGTCTAAGGGCCCACTGATACCACCGACCACTCTTAGACATGTTTTCCCAGGGGCCATGAGGCACAGCGCTCTCCTCTCTGCTGCCAAGACCCTTTCCTAGAGGCGGGAAGCCCCTGAAAATGGGGACACATAGCAGGAGGGCATTGCCAAGTGGCCTGACTTGATGGAAAGTGATGTTTTGTTCGGCAACTCTGGGCACAGTCTTACTTTCTGTCCCTTGTATCACAGAGCTCCAGAATCAACTCACACACACCTGCTGTTGTCTGAATTACAGCCTTTCTTGGGAGATAATGTGTTAATTCCAGTCAAAAGCCTCCAGGCAGCATGAAACAGGAAGAAATAAAAATAATGGAAAACGTACCTCCATGAAATTAACATTAGAAGAACCTCAGGGGCAAAACTGGGATCAAATATGGGATCATACAACAGCCAACAGCCTAAGATCTAATAAGCCTGCACATTACGAACCTCATAAATGATAATTATCCACTAGAAAGCAAGCATCTCACTTCTTTGAGAAGTGATGGGGCACAGTTTTCTGTTAACAGCAAATGTTATTCAACCTGTTCATGAATCAGGCTTAATAATACAACTTAACTAATTTCCCTGCATGATTTTTATTGCAGCTCAAATTTACACAGTCGCTGTTCCTCACCAAGGACTTTTACGTTTTCAGCGCCAGGTTCCAAACACGGTCAGTGACGTTTGAGCCACACATCTTAGGGAATCACGATGCAGGTAAAACCTTATGATGATATTCCTTTTAATGATGGCAATTTATCATTTCCATATTGTTCCCAGGGTTTTATTTTACAAATACTATCGTAGGGAGAGTCAAATGCAGAAAATTAAATACAAAGCATCCATGAGTAGTTTTCTCAAGAATACACATCAGGACAAGTGATCTGCTTCCTCTGAACCATTCACACATGAAAGCGCTGGGTCCCTGTGCGGAATTCAAAGCTAGAGAATGCCAAGCACACTTATGAAAATTAAGTACAGCTCACCGTTCTCCTCATTCCCACAAGTAGGATGGAAGTCAACAATAATGACATCTTGATAACAGAGGACAGACAGGAAGCCCGACTCATGAATTTTTTATATGCCCTTTCCTTGCTCAGTCCAGCAGATGCTGATGAACGGTTTCATCTACTAGCCAGCACTGACATCTTGGCAGTAGCCACAAATACTTCTGAAACAGACCTACATGATAGCAGGTTGCTTATACTGAAGACGTTTAACCTCTGAGAATTTCTGGAACCTGAAAAATTCTAGTTTAGATCTGAACTTCAAAGAGAACAAGATGGCTAAAAAGACACATGGGGGTAAAAAGAAAAAAAGTTTAAAAAAAGGAGGGGGGGGCTCAGTTAGCTATCACAACTCCGGCACTTGGAGCAAGGCAGACGCGGGGCGTGACGACACACAGCGCCCTGCGGGCTACTGTCTCGTGCTCTTCAGTTATCCTGATGACGGGCAGTCTTCTTCTTTAAACAGTTTCACTTAGGTATAAAGCACGCACCATAAATCCACTCACTTGAAGCACGGAATTGAAAGGATTTTACTAAACTTGCAGCGTTGTAGAATTATCACCACAACGCAGTTCGAGAACACTTCCATCACACACATGTATGGCTTGGGTCCACCTGGCTCGATCGTCCTTTGACCCCAGCCCCAGTTGACCACTGTCCCACTTTCTGCCTCCATAGACTTGTCTTCTCCACACATTTCGTGTAAATGGCGTCCTATGATACAATCGTGTGATACGTGGTATTGGAGCCTGGCTTCTTAGTGTGACGTTTTGACGTTTATTCACACTGTAGCTGTATTCCATCACGGGATACGACCAACACTGTCCATCCAGCAGCTAGGACGTGTGCACTGCCTGCTTCTTTTCCTCTTTTTTATGAAGGCCGCTACGGACATCAAGTCTTTGTGTGTTTTTCCTTCTCTTTGGTAGACGCCTAGGAGTGGAATTGCTGGGTCATGTAGCGAATTTATGCTTAATTTTTAAGAGCATGCCAAACTTAAAAATTTTACCATTTTACATTCCCATCAACAACATATGAGAATTCCAGTTTCTGAACACCCTTGGTTATTGTTGCTCTGTAGCACAGTTCTGAAACTGGAAAACAGAAGCTTTCCAACCTTGTTATTTTCTGGGGTTTGTGGCTGTATCTGCTCCAGTGGGTATGAAGTGTCAGCTCACTGGTTTTAATTTGTATTTTCCTAATGAATGTGAAACATCTTTTCATGCGTTTATCGTGATTTGTGTATTTGTGGTGAAATATCTATTCAAACCTGTTGCCCGTTTTTAAATTCATGTTGCATGTTTTCTTCTGGAGTTTTAAGAGTTCGTTTTGTATCTGTTTGGAAGGACTGCATCAGGTTATGATTTGCAAATACTTTCCCCCAGTGTGTGGTTTGTCTTTCCAACTTTCTATCAAGTGTCATTTGATGTGCCCAAGTTTTTAATTTTACCGAAGCCACATTTACCAATATTTCTTTTATGTATTGCCCCATATCTAAGAACTCTAACTTGAGATAAGATTTACTGATTTGTCTTCTTCCAAAAGTTTTAGTTTTTACATTAAAGACTGCAACCTATTTTGTATTTATTTATATGATGCAAAATAAGGTTTAAATTAATCTTTTTACAGGTGAACGCCCAATATTCCCAAACATCGTTTGTTGAAAATACTACCTTTTATCACTGAACTGTCTTTGCTGAAAAATGAAGTGACCATATGCAACAGGGCTATTTCTGGACTCTCTATTGTGTTTCATTGACTATTTTTTCTGTATCTACCTTCCTACCTACCTTTCTGCCAGTATAACACTGTCCTGGCTACTATAGTAAGGGTTGAACACGGGAAGTCTGAGTTTTCCAACTTTGTTATCCTATTCCAAAATTGTTTTCGATATTGTGGGATCTTCCTTTATATTTTAGGACAATATCAATTTCTGCAAAACAAAAAATATGCTGAGATTTTTGACAGGAATTTCATCAAATCTCTAAACCTATTTGCAAAGAATTTCTATTTTAACAATATTAAAACTTTTAATCCATGAATATCAACTATCTGAATGCTTTTAAAGACACATTTGATCTTAAAAATATTTTGAAACAAGGGCGCCTGGATGGCTCAGTCAGTTAAGCATCTTACTCTTGGTTTCAGCTTGGGTCATGATCTCATGGTTCGTGAGTTTAAGCCCTGCATCAGGCTCCACGCTGACAGTATAGAGCCTACTTGGGATTTCTCTCTCTCTCTCTCTGACCTTCCCCTGCTTGCATGCACTCTCTCTTTCAAAATAAATAAATACATGAATATTTTGAAACAACTCTGTTATATCTCAAGTCTCAGATACACAATCCTCTATTTTGTGACTGAAGGGAACTTTAGAATGAAGACATAAAAAATTGTTTCATTCAACTTCTTAAAAATGTTCAAACAATCCAAAGTTACAGAAAAGTTTTGAATAGAAATACTTTTTCCCCTCTTGAATCATCTGAGGGTGAGTCACTGACCTGATGCCCCATCAACCCCAAATACTTCAGCAGGTATTTCCAATAAACAAGTTTATTTTCCTCCACAAAGCCGATTCAGGCATCAAAATCAGGGATCAGATACGTTTCTTCCACCCAAGTCTGGGACCCTCAGTCAAGTTTTGCCAGTTGTCCTGATGGTGTCTTTTACAGCAAAAGGAGCCCGTTGGGAGACAAGGCCACAGATGCCATCGGCCTGCCTGGGGGGGAGTGGGGTCCTCAGGCCTCTGTGACACCGGTGTCCACATGCTGCTTTCCGTCCCTCCTTAGTCTGTGTCTGATGCTCCCTGGCTTGGAGTCAGTGAAGTATCTTTGCCAGGAAGACCCCGGATGGAATGCTGTCTTCCCCGCTGCAACCCTCTGGGTGACACACCCCTGCCCCAAGTCTCCACCGTGAAGGTTCTCTCCTTCCCGTCATAATTAACTACTATTTTCTAGACGTCTGCCGTAGCAATGGAGCTTTTAATCTGTTCATCTGTTTGTCTGAATAGTGAAATAATTTCCCATTTTATTCAAAGCGTTATCATCTATCATAATCTTTACCTTGATGCTGAAATTCCCCCAATTTGGCCAATGGGAGCCCCTCTGAAGGACATGTCACCACCCTACTGTGAGCACTTTCTTGCACAAAATGACATCCAGGTTCATCTTGTTCATTTCCTGAAGGAACGCGAGCCCATCTGAGAGGAAACCGTGTGTGCAGGATTTATGGGTGTTGGGCATCCTCATCACCACTGGGGGTGGGGTGGGGGGGATGCTCCCAGGTCTGGTCTTTAAGCAACTCTGATGGCATCTGTTTCTATAGAGGACCTCAGAAGGGAGAAGTCTGTAGCTATGGTATACTGATTTCTAGTGTTGCAGGGGCAATCGACAGAATATTGTGATTCTGTGACTGCTGAGTGAATTTGCAGGAGGTGTGTTCATTAGGTAAAGGTTCCTTATAACTCCTTTTAAGAGCCCCCACCATGCCCTCACTGCTACTAGTGAGCATCCCGTGTTGGTGCATGGGCGTTGGCGAAGCACTCCATTGCTGGCTTCAGCTTTACCGGCACCTTGCCAAGTGACACACAGACAGACACATGGACAGTCTCCTATAAAGTAGGTAGGTCAGGGCGGCTTCCTTCCTAGTTGGCCAAGCATGTCTACGGTCGCTGGCACTACTGCTGGAATACCACATCCTAAACTATTTCCCGAGAGGAAAAGTTACCCACAAGGCTACTGCATTTTACAGTGAGGCAGAAATCATTAAGTATTTTAACTCAATTCCATCTGCTCTCTCAAAAAGTTTAATTGGTCTAACTGAAATGTGTTTTTCAAAAATATAGGATTGGGTTTTAATCCAACTTCATATTATTAAATATTATGAATGCATTAGAATAGCTGAGGGGCACATTTAAAGACATTAGAGAACGTCGGCCAGAAAAAAGGAAATCCTAACCACTTTCATACTGCAGCATCTCCGTTTTATACCTATGTTAGCGCATGCTTACAAAAAAACTGTACGCGTACTTGAAGGTTTATGGTGAAAGCATGCTGTCCGGTGATTGCATTAAAAATCGGAAGGGGACGTGAAACAAAGCGGGCCAAATGTTGGTCCACGGGGAGCTGGATGGGGGGCACTTCATGTACTTAAAGATGTTCAAAGTGCTAACGATAAAACCATAGTACGCTACACCAGAAATCAAACTGGAAGACGGTATACCAAAATGCTAATAGTGCCTGTTAACTGGTATCACTGGGCAGCATGATTACTGAGGTCTTTATGTTATTGCATATTTTCTACAGTTTCTTCAGGGAACACATATGCAGTCGGACAAAATGCCAATGAACTTCCCCAAGTTCATCCTCGCCACAAGCACCTGCTGACCCTTCTCTGGGCTGGACGCTGGGTGGCTGCTGGCTGGGGGGGCGGTGACCGTGGCTGGGAGGTGAGGGGAGTGCTCATGGAGGTTGCTCCCGGCCTTCCTGCAGCTGACGTTCCTCCCCCGCCCGCGTCAGGGACAAGCCTGAAGGAAGAGAGAGCCTGAGCTCTCACCGGCCGATGTGACACAAACTCCAGGCCGAGGATAACTGCTGGGAGCCTCGGGCTGGAGTCCTGCGCTTGGAAAACAGGGGGCCCCACCAGAGAGCCTCCCAGAATGTGCCCAGAGTCTGTCATCTCTGCAGGTGTCAGCAAAGTTCACGGAGACCACGGTCTCCAGACGCTGCGGGATGTGGAATCCAAGGGGGGTTGGCGCAGGGACCCATGCGGGCCCCCTGCAGCCAGCCCCTCTGCAAGTGGAAGTCCTCCCCAGACGTTAGCGTCTACTCTGCCAACGGTCTCAAGGGGGGGGCGCACGCGACTGATTTCCTCGTCCTTGTAAAGACGCTGAGGACGACACTCACCTGCAGAGGCACCACAGGACAAACCCAAGTCCGCAGTACGGGTCCAAGCAGATGGCCACTTCTCTCGAGGGGTAGAGCTCACACTGCAGCTTGATGGAGCGGCAGAAGGCACTGGTGGCTGCGTGGCACATCTGGAAGACAGCAAGGCCGCCTTCAGTCCACGTGGCCGACACCCAGTGCCCCAGCTGGAGCGACCCCCTCCCGCACCCCAACAGGAAGCGGGCACGCACAGGCTTCTCCGGCGATCCCACAGCCCCGGGAAGGTGGGGAGACACTAGACGCTGCAGCTCACAGCCCCTCCCAGGGGTGTGCCCGACACACGCCTGTCATGCGGTAGGGCCGGCAGGGTGCGTGGATGAACATCCCATGTCAGTGACAGGAACCAGGCTCAGAGAAGGTAGTGTGCTGAAGGTCACACAGCTTCGGGCCAGAACCAGCGTTAGTCACAGGACAACAGCCAAGCTCCCGTCTCCCCGCATCGCTGAGGTGACAGTAAGAGGGCTCCCACGTGATGGAAGTTATTGCCAAATAGCATAAAATATGTCTCATAAAATCAGTTTTCTCACAGAAGCTTTCTAGCCAATCAAGCCTAAGAGGAAAAGGAAAATTTTCCCAAGTTTGTGGTTTGAAAAACATCTGGAGTTAACGTGAAGTGAACGTCCCATGCAGCTGAACCGTGTGGGGGGCTGGAGCAAGCACCCTAATACTCAGGGCCACCCACCCAAATGCCTGGGGGAAGCGCCCGTGAGTCGCGCCGGCAACAGAGGCGAGAAGCCAGGGCCAGGGCCACTTCTGTGGTAAGCGCGGGAGCCCTGCTAGAAGCTGTGGGTGGAGGGAGGTTTCGCGATGGATCCGCCTCACAATCCACACAAGGTAATGCAGAATTACTCGAGAAGTGAGCACATACAGCTCATTTTCCCTTGCTGTTAAGGCCACGGTATTTGCTTAAAGAAGAAACAAGGCTGGGTTTCTGAAACATGCCTTCAACCTCTGCCCGCCTACTAGATCGGGAGTCAGCAAAATCCTAGCTACCGAAATTAGCCACATTCCCAGATTCGCCACTAAAACAAACCTTGCCTGAACCCCTACTCTGTGCAGGCGTTATTTATAGCTTGAGAACAGTTCAGCTCAGCAAACACTAATACGTTAATGGAGTACATGCTATGTCTCAGGCATTGTATTAGGTGCTCAGAATATAAAGAATAAAACACAGCCTCTGTCTGACCTCAGGAGTTTGGGTCCAGTGGAAAATTGAGAGAGAACTCCGGTGACTGCAGGGCCTGTGAGCGCGTTCACAATGGGTGCCGAGAGCATAAGGAGGGCAGAGAAGGGGCTCTCATATCACCCTGGGGGACCCCAGTGTGCTCTGGGTCTTGAGGCTGAGTAAGCACAAGCAGAACTCATCAGAGTGACAGGAGCACAGACAGGTGAAGAAAAACGCAACCAGGAAAGCTAAATGACTCGTCTCCAAGCACCAGTCTTGGACCTGCCAACATCACAGCCCAACAGCCCACGCCGGAAGAAAAACTCCCAATTCTTAGGAAGTCAGACTTGTACCTGGATAAGTCGTTTTGAAAAGCCCCAGACAACAAGCTCTAATGCCCTACTCTGAAACAGACGGTGAGAGTAGACCCAGTGGGAGGAAGCAGGGATGAGGGCAACTGTATGTATTTCCGGGATGTGCCTCAGCTCTTCTCTTGGGTGGGTTTACCTTCCAGAGCAGTTTTGCTTTGGCTGACGTTAAAGTAAGTGTCCACTCCCTGGGCACACGGCAGCTGCACATTCGGTGGAAGGGAGAGCCACCACCAGTATGACGGCGTCCTGTGGGCAAGCCCAGAGGGCCACTGATCTGAAGGGAAGGGTCCTCCACACGACTTCCCCATTGAAGTGAAAACGTTTCTCCAGGGTCTATCAGAAATCTTCAGAGTTCAAATTAAACTTTCAAATGGTTAGTATTTTAAAACTTAAATTGAACACATAAACATATACTCATGGGCCTTCTACTAAATCAGACATTAAATAATGCCCGTTAGGGGGAAAACAGATTACTGGCTAAGTCTCTCTCAGCATTCATTCTGTATTTGAATACTTAATGACATTTGGACCAAAAGCTGAAACTGAATCAAAATTTCTGAGAAACATGAGGACATGTGCAACCAAAGAGGTAGAAGAGAATTCAATGAGAAGACCATGACCAGATGATTTCAGTTGTTTACACCTCTCAGTATTTAAGGCAAATGGGTTTTCATTAAATGACATCACAACATATTTTACCTCAGGTACTCATCAAACAAACAATCAGAAGTTTAATAAAAACTTACGAAGATTTCAGAGAAAAGTCTAATTATTTATCCCTCTGGGATTACTAGGGTTTACATTTCTATTAAGTGGAATTACCAAGAGTCACGTCACTTCATCTGTTTCACGTGTAAGTATCTTTATCGAATCAAGACGTAACATTATAGCCCCCACTTCTGTAGACCATGAAAATGGTACGATCACAAGTGTGTGTTTCTGTTTGGCTATGACAGGAGGCAGCTCAAAGCCCCTCACCCTGGTATGAAAAGAAATCTGTACTCCAAAAAGCTTTTGAAGAATTATTTTATTTGATATTGCACTTTATTTGGTGTGTCACCTCAGATTCTACTGAAAAGCAGAGGAGAGGATTCTCAGAAGACTGTCTCCATAGCAACCAGACAACAACTGTGTCAGAAAATGATGAGACTCTTTGGAGTTCTGGAGTCCGTTTAAGTCTTACAACTTCCCGAGGAAAGTTTGGGCAATCAATGGTAATTAATTTTGGAAAAAGTAAGATATTCCCATTTAAAAAAAAAAAACAGTTGTGGGAGCTCATCACATTTAAGTACTCATTAATATACTCAATTACACTCAGACCTGCCATGAAAGAAAGGCTCAAGGGACTACTGCAGATTGAAATAATAAGATATTAGACATATCTCAAAGTCATGTGAATAAATTTAGATCTCAGCAAAAGTAAATACAATTCAATTATAAATACCAGTATAATTGTAGCAATACTTTGTAACTCCACTTTTCATTTTCTACATGATTTAAGACACTAATATGGTAAAAAAAAAATAATCATTAGCTGAAAAAATTATTGTTATTGTAACTTTGGGTTTAAATTCCACTTTTTTCCCTATATAACTTGAGACTTAAGAAATGCATTTAAAAGACTTGCTACTACATATTTTGGGCCATGCAGTATATAAAGATATAACTTTGTGACATCAGCAACTGAGAAAGGCGGGCACGGAGCAGTTTTGTGTGTTCCTGAAATTAAGCGAGTATAATCCAAACTGGAGTACTGCAACTGTAGGGTGTTCAACTCAACCCCCACTGTCACCTGAGTGACACAAGCTGTAGAATATATACAAAAAGAATTCAAATGTTTCGCTACAAAAAACAATCAACTAAGCACAAAACAAGACAGTAATGCAGGAAATGAGTAACAGAGAAGCTATTTTTTAACTTCTTTTTAATGTTTGTTTATTTTTGAGAGAGAGACAGAGAGAGAGAGTGCGAGCTGGCAAGGGGCAGAGAGAGAGGACACAGAATCCAAAACAGGCTCCAGGCTCTGAGCTGTCAGCACAGAGCCCGATGTGGGGCTTGAACCCACAAATCATGAGATCATGACCGGAGCCAAAGTCAGCCGCTTAACTAACTGAGCCAACCCAGGTGCCCTGCAAAAGCAGTTTGACTGCAGAAATTTACATGAAAACTTAGGCTAAAAAACAAAACAGATCTCACATCAACCTAACTTTACAACTTAAGGAATGACAGAAAGAACAGACTAAACCCCAAGTCAGAAAAAGGAAGTAATAAAGATTAGAGCATAAACAAACAGAGGGTAGAGAAAGAGTTGACTTACTGAAAGCAAAAGATGGTTCCTCCAAAAGATTGACAAAACAGACAAACCTCTAGTTAGATGGACTAAGAAAAAAGGAAGGAAAATTCAAAATACTAAAATAAGAAATGAAAGTGAGGACATTATGGATTCTACAGAAACAAAAATAATCAGAAGAAAGTACTATGAACAGTCGTACACCAACAAACTGCACAACCTATATGAAATGAAGAAATTCCATTTCATGGAAATTGAAACCCAAATTATCAAGAAGAAAGACAAAACTGGGGTGCCTGGGTGGCTCAGTCGGTTAAGCGTCAGACTTTGGCTCAGGTCCTGATCTCAGGTTTGTGGTTTCAAGCCCCACACTGGGCTCTGTGCTGACGGCTCAGAGCCTGGAGCCTGCTTCGGATTCTGTGTCTCCCTCTCTCTCTGCCCCTCTCCTGCTTGTGCTGTCTCTGTCTCTCAAAAATAAAGTTTAAAAAAATTTTAAAAAAGGAACACAAAACCTACCAAGACTAAATCATAAAGAATAAAAAATCTGAATAGACCAAAAGCAGTAAAGCAAGATCAAATCAGTAAAGAAGATTTTCCAGCAAAGAAAAGCCCTGTACCTGATGACTTCATTGCTAAAATCTACCAAACATTTAAAGATGAACTAATACTGGTCCTTCTCAAACGTTTCCAAAAAATTAAAGAGAAAGGAACACTATTTTTTTAAGTTTACTTACTTATTTTTAAGATAGAGACAATGTGCACACAAACAAGGGAGGAAAAGAAAGAGGGGCTGATGTGGGGCTCGAACCCATGAACCATGAGATCATGACCTGAGCCGAAGTCCGACATTTATCCAATACAGCTGCCCAGGCGCCCCCGAGAAGGGAACACTTCTTAACTCATTCTATGAGATTAGTAAAACTCTGATACCAAAGCCAGACAAAACACTATAAAAGCAGAAAACTACAGACCAGTATCTCTGTGGAACACTGATGCCAAAATCCTCAACAAAGCACTTACCCAATTCGGTAGCACATTAAAAAGCTTATACATGAGTGGGATTTATTTCTGTAAGGGATTGTAGGCTCTACAAATGAAAACTCAATCAATGGGGGCACCTCACTGACTCAGAGGAGCATGTGACTCTTGATTTTGGGGCCATAAAGTTAAATCCCACAGTGGGTATAGAGAGTACTTAAAAATAAAATCTTAAAAAAAATCAATGTAATATATCATATTCAAAGAACGAGGGGGAAAAAACACATGATATCTCAATTGATGCAAAAAAAAAAAATCTGACAGAATTCAACATCTTTTTATGGTAAAAACACTCGATAAACTAGGAGTAGAAAAAACGGGCTTCGGGGCACCTGGGTGGCTCAGTCGGTTGCTTAGTCTGGCTCAGTCATGATCTCAAGGCAATACATGAGTTTGAGCCCCAGATTTGGGGTCCTGGCTGATGGCTCAGAGCCTGGAGCCTGCTTTGATTCTGTGTTTCTCTCGCCCTCCCGCTCATGCTGTTAAAATAAATAAATAAAGAAAAAAAAAATTTTTTTTAATAAAAAAAAAAAAGAAAAAACGGGCTTCAACAGAATAAAAGCCATATATAAAGAACACAGTAAACATCATACTCAGCCATGAAAGACTCAACACTTTACCTCTATGATCAGCAATAAGGCAAGGATGCCTGTTTTCACTCTTTCTATGCATAGTACTAGAAGTTCTAGCCCAAGCCATTAGGTAAGAAAAATAAATAAAAGGCATTCAGATTAGAAAGGCAGAAATAAAATGATCTCTTCATGGATTAAATGAACTTGTATGTAGAAAACACTAAACATCGTACACAAAAAATTGTTAAAAATTGTAAATTCACTAAAGTAGCAAGATAAAAAGTCAACATGCAGAAATCATTTGCATTTCTATACATTAAGTGAAAAATCTGAAGAGGAAATTAAAACAATTCCATTTATGATAGCATCAAAGAATAAAATGCTGAGGAATTAGCCAAGGAGGTGAAAGACTTGTACAATTAAGACTATAAAATATTGCTAAAAAATAAAGACACACATAAATGGAAACACACACCATATTCACAGATGTCAATACTACCCAAAACAACACAGACTCAGTGCAATCTCTATTAAAATCTCAATGACTTTTTTGTGTAAGTAGAAAATGCATAGAATTCATACAGAATCTCAAAGAAATCTGAATAGCCAAAACAATCTTGAAAATAAACACAGAGGACTCCCTCATTCTGATTTAAAAACTTACTACAAATATACAGTAGTCAAAAGCAGTGCAGTACTGGCATAAAAACAGACATACAGATCAACAGAACAGAGAGCCTAGAAATAAACCCTTGCATATATTGGCCAACTGATTTTTGACCAGAGTGCCAAGACTATTCAGTTGGGGAAACAACAGTCTTTTCAACAAAGTGCTAAGAAAATTGCATCTCCAAATGCAAAAGAACGAGGTTGGACCCTTACCTCACACCACACAGAAAAGTTAGCTCAAATTGGATCAAAGACAGAAATGTAAGACCTAAGACAATAAAACTCTTGGAACAAAACAAAGGACAAAGGCTTCATGATACTGGATTTGGCAATGATTTCTTGGATGTGACCAAAGGCACAGGCCAAAAATGACACAGAATTGGAGTGTATGAAAATTTAAAGATTTTGTGCATCAAAAGACACCATCCACAGAGTAAGAAGGCAATCCAAAGAAGAGGAGAAAATTAATATACAGAATATACCAAGAACCTGTAAGACTCAACAACAAAAAACCAAGCCATTTGATTCAAAGGACATGAATAGACATGTCTCCAAAGAAGACTTACAAACAGCCAGTAACTGCGTGAAAAAAATGCTTAACATCACTAATCATTAGGAACAACAGTGGGCAACAGTATGGCAACTCCCTCCCAGGTTAAAGACGGAAACTACTGCCCGACCCAAAAATTCCACTTCTCCGTATATACCCAGAAGACCTGAAGAGATGTTCGTATGTCTGTGTTCACAGCAGCAATGCTTACGAGAGCTAAAACTTGGAGACAACCCTAGTGTTCGTTGAGGGATCGACAGACAGGTTAAATGCGGTACACACATTCAACAGAATATTAACTCAGCCTCAGAAAGAAATTCTGATGCCCTCAGCAACACGAATGAACCTCCAGGACATTACGGTGAGTGAAATGAGCCAGTCACAAGAGGACAGTGCACATGACTCCACTTCTACGGGGTCCCCAGAGCCATCAAAATCACAGAGATGGGGGTGGGAGTGAGAGGGGATGGGGAGTTATTAATAGGTAGCGAGCTTTAGTTTTAGAAGATAAGATGAGTCATGGGGATGGATGGCAGGGAGGGACGGCTGCATGGCAGTGTAAGAATATTCAACGTCACTGAACCACACACTTGGGTGCGTTATTGTGGTAAACTTATGTCACGTATGTACAACCACAATAAAAAAAATTGGGAAAAGGGTAGAGAAAGAGAACTCAATGCAGTAAATGACACAAACTGAGTGGTCAGACCCCCAGAGGTGGGCAAAGGACTTCCTGAGGCTACTGAAGATGTACCAGTACCTTGGCAAGGACACTGCCAGAGCTGTGAGGGTCCTCATGAGGTGACGTGCATAGCACAATGAACCCATGAACAACACGGGTCTGTGTGCCCCAGCCCACTTACAGACTTTTTATAGTGCAGGACTGTAATCGTTTATGTTTCTCCTAATCGATTTTCTTTGGCTTACTCCTTTACGTAAGATGCAGTACACATTACGCTACATACCACGTACTATGTGTATGTGATACACACACTTGCATGTAACACGCCTAACATCTTATGATATGTTATATAACACACAAGATAGGTTTCAACCGACTGTTTAGGTCACTGGTAAGCTTTCCAGTCAACAGCAGGCTATCAGGAGGAGTCACAAGTTGTACGTGGATTTTCAACTGTGCAGGGGGTTGGCGCTCCTAACCCCCCGAGTTGCTCAGGGGTCCACTCTAGTTGCATGCTTTAACAGGAACACGGGTCACGGCATGAGCCGTCCTCCAGCACACAATAACAGAACCCACGGCAAAAAAGGAAGAAATCCCAGTGCACACAGTTTCACAACAGAACACGGGGATTCGAAAGCCAGCAAGGAAGAAACACGTGCAGTGTTTTATTAGGGGCTGGTGAGGCTGTGTTTACACACACACAGAGATAGTTGGGACATTCGGAAAGAGTCGGCTGACCTAGGTAACTGTGGAAGTGACCGTGCATCTTAAGGCCTCAGTGAAGTGCAAGCACACACCCCTCACGTGTGCCACCGTGCAGACCGTGTCACTAACCTTCACTCCAGCCAGCATCCCCGTTGTGGACACACTGAAGTCAAGATAAGCTAGCGTGTCTGGGTTGGAAGGTTTGTAGATCTGGGCAGGCCGTTTCTTTGGCAAATCGTCTGGAGCAAAACAAAGCCATTAGCATGTCTGAGCCAACGGCAAAGCAGACAAGCAGGTACAGGTGTCTGGCTGGTTTGAGGACTGACCTGTGTCCAGTATGGGGGGCCACGCCCTGACGTCTACGGCCGCAGCTGCCTCCCGGGACCGCAACAACTTACAGATCAGCTGTGTTGTCATCAAGCAGGCAGAGCGACTCACCTGAGGTGAGAGAACAAGTTGTGGAGGAAGGAGGTGAGCGGTCGCGCACGGCCAGCTGCTCACCACACACCCCGAGGCCAGCGGCTTTCACAGCGGGCCAGGCTGCCTCCCATGGAGCCAGCATGACGGCCAGGATGTGACCGCGGACCCAGAGCTCAGACACGGAGGCCCCTGGAAATTCCTGGAGCTGAGGAGTAGCCATGGTTATGAGCGTGCTCAGAAAGGAGTGTCCCAACCAACCACTCTGTCAGCTCTGATCTACAAAAACCACCATGTGTCTCCACAGATGCGGCCACGACTTTCTAAACAGAGAAGTGGCCTGGACAGTACTCCCACACACCCACAAAAAGAATTCGCGTGTGCTATCCCCAGACTAAGCTGTCCCTCGTGGTTTCTCCTCCAAGGGGAAAACCTTTTTCTAATCCTCTTCAACTTCCCCAAGCATAAGAAAAGTTAAAATAAATCTGTGCTTTCAAAAAGGAATGGGACACTTCTAAATCTTCAGCAGAGAACTTCAGAAAAATATATGACTTCTTCATCAGTTTGGTGCAAAAAACTCCCACTGTCTTTACAGACGCCCGTGAGAGAGGTCGCTTTCTTGAGGGCCCTGCGACTCTAATGCATGAGGGAAGCCACCCCAGCCCCTAAGGCCACAAGTGAGTGAAATCATGAAATCCCATTTCCAGAACTAGATGGTAGAGGCCGCATCCTCCCCACCAGCCCCAGAGCTAGCCCTGCCTCGGTTCTGCCATCTGGAAGACCTATGCTTGGACCAGGGCACAGGTGGGAGGAAGAGAACCCTGGGAGGAGAGCCCCGGGGTGGGGGGAGGAGGAGAGCCCCGGGGGTGGGGGGGTAGGAGTAGAGCCCCAGGGGGAAGGAGGAGGAGAGCCCTAGGGAAGAGGAGGAGAGCCCCGGTGGGGCGGGGAGTCGGGGGAGCCCCAGTGCTTCCAGGTGTGGTTACCTCCACGATCATCTTCACGGTGGGCAGCGTGGTGGCGATGTTCTGCGGGTGCGGGGGGCGGACGGTTATGGGCACGCAGCCCGCATACAGGCAGCCGTAAAAAGCTGCAATCAGGTCTATTCCTAGACAGGAGGAATGCGTAAGTGCTCAGGTGACAGCCCCCGGTGCAGAGGTGCCAGCCTGGGGCTGCGACGGGAACGGACTCTTGTCTGTGCCGTCAATTCCCGCCGCCTGTCCTTTCGGCACGAGATGCCCAAGCGGCCCAGGTGGCTGATTTCTGTCATTTCTCTAAGGAATTACTCACCTCTATCGTCACCAGTTTACTGAAGGATTTAATTATTGTTGCTTAAATGAACTACCTCAGACATCGAACAAAACAAATTTGGACACAAATGTCTTTGCGAATTTTCGCCCCGTGTATGACCTCAGGAGGCACCCAGCATGCAGCACCGCCCTGCGAGAGGCCACAAGTAGACCTAGGGAGCCACACAGAGCACGATGCCGGCTGCCAGCTAGGGCGTGGGCGACAAGGTGCCCCGCACGCGGCCGGGGAACTGCCTTCTCACCTGGTGGGTAGACGAGAGCCACGTGGTCCCCGTCCTGCAGGTGCCCTCTCTCCAGTAGCATCACGGCGATCTTCTCGGCGCGCTTATGCAGCTGCACACACGTCAGTGAGCTTGCGATGGCACCCTGAGGGTCGCAAGAATGAGCAGGTGGGATTTTTTTAACGTTAACAGCTTTACTGAGATGTGCTGCAGGTACCAGCCGGGCACGTTATTTCAAAGGCACACTTCAACGGGCACTGGTGTGTCCCCAGAGCTGTGCGGCCATCCACAGTCGGTTTTGGCATGCTTTGGTCATCCCCCAAAGACCCCTATCAGTGGTCCCTTCCCTCTCCTTCCCACTGGCCAAGAAGGGCAGCACCAAAGAGACATCTAGATGTACTTGTGTCAACAAAAGATGTTTTCAAGAATAATTATTTCACTTAAAGAATAGCTAAATGTACCAAAAAAAAAAAAAGTCAACCTGGTAATTCTGGGACTTTGGTATAATTGCCAAGGGCAGGAAGAGTCAGTGGTGACCCAGCAGGAAAAATAAAACAACTTGAACACGTTTTTAAGAAACACCACGTTAAAAGTCGAGGTCAAAAAAACAAATGAAAAAAGCAACAAACCAAAAAAATCAGTAAAGTGAAAAACGAACTCGTCAAATTCATTTTATGTAGAACATCACACACATAGAAACAAGTGGAAAACACATTTGGATTGAAAAATACCTTAAAAGCACTGTTGTTGCAACTTCTTACTAATCTCCAATTATTTCAAAGTAAACAGTTGAGGAAAATAAATAAAATCTAAACCCTGCTCTTCATGATGAAACCCTATATTAAAGCAGTTGACAGGGTGAAGGGCAGGTCGCCCTCTGTGTCTCGGGCCAGGAAGACTCCACGCCACGGAATTTGCGACGACACCGTTTGCTCCCACAGATAGAGCGAGCCAGCAGCGGCAGGAGGAACAGCAAGACACGGGTGATTTTCGGGGACTCTGCAGGTGCGGTAGGCGTCCTGGACCCAAAGGTCATGTGCGGAGAGAAAAGTCCAAAGGGAAGGGCAGTGAGCGGTGCTAGTGTAGAAGGGGGTCACACTGTGTGGACAGAAGTGACCAGGCCCTTGGGGTCCCTTAAAAACAGGCAGTGGTGGCCTAGCAACTGGAGGTGCTGGGAAAACACGTTAGAATTCCTGTCAAAATGGCCTGTTTGTTGGAAACACCTGCTCTGGGTGTGGTGTGTGGGACCACCTTTTATGATCAGGATTACAAACACCGGTGCTTGATGCTTGCCAAAATCATCCACAAGATAACTGGTTGTTGTGTGGAGGTCCAGGAAGCAACTCATTCCCCTTCGTGACCTGACCCACAAGCAACGCTTGGGACTGCAAGGGCTCCTGCCCTTTCCCACCGGCTGGGACTGGTTTCTGTGGGGACAGGTCAGTGACGATTCTCTGAATCGAACCTTCTCATCGCACATTTTCCTTGTCTTCCAAGGAAGGTTAAAAAATGAGAAAATGGAGACACGCGTAAGGTGAGAGAGCCACGGCAGAACGTGGCAAAGCTGGGTAACCAGACAGACCCGGAGGCTGAGGTGCAAGATGCGGCCCAATCGTGAGAGCTCGGTGCCCCCAAAACCAGGCGCTCCCAAACACCCACTCCTGGAGACCACACCTGTCTAAAGGAACTGAAATGAACACACTCACTGAGCCAAGTGTCCTTTGAATATTTCAAAGTGAGATGGTACAGCTGATGGGGAGGCCCAGGACCACCTTGATCCCCAGACTGGCGGTGGGGGGAGCCCATCCTGCCGGCCGAGACACTCACGCACCAGCTGTCCTGGAGGACAGCCAGCACTACCCTCCTGGCCGTCAGACAGGCACAGACACGATGCCGGTGGGTGGTGGTGTGCCACGGTGGGCAGGGCCAGCACAGAGGGCTCATCTGTACATTACCACTGAGCTCGGCCCTCCTTTCTGTCTCCACCCTCTGGCCGCCGGTATGGTCTGCTTATCTTAAGTAGCAAATATTCCCGCTCTGAGCTGTTCAGATTCTGGAGCTGACCTCCTGAGTTTCGGAGATCCGATGCCAATCCCCTATCAATGATCAACTTTTCCATCACGAGACAAAACCTAAGAGATTGTCAGGTATCAGTGGCTCAGAACCATTAGCCTAAGCATATCTGAAAAGATGTTTTGGCCCTAGTCTGTGAAAATTCCCACTGACATACTTAAAGGTGAAATTTAATTGGCATGCTGTCCTTCAGCCCTACTGATCTCTGAAACAGCTTTCACAACACCGTCTGCGGTTCTTTGGGTTTACGGCGGTGAACAGACAAGCCCCCGCCACAGGTGGTAACCATGGGCGGGGGGCGTCCAGTTCCAGAGTCAGCAATAGGGAGCCTGGAGATCCACACTGTCCTCAAGCCCCCAGAAGGTGCCACGCTGGGGCCAGGAGCGCTGGTTCCCAGGCAGTCCAGAGCCTCTCTCAACCCCCCTCCCCCACATGCAGGGTGGAACATGTCCATACCCCACCTCTCACGAGCCCACAAGGGCACAGGCCACACCCAGCCCCAGATTCCCTGTGGGAGCTTCAGCACAACCCCCACCTCTGGGGAAATGGCCCCGGTGCCAGCTCTGCAGAACAGGAACAGCCACGGGCGAGCAGTCCAAGAAGTGGCAGCCCAGTAGCCCTGGTCAACGGCTGCCTGGCTACCCCATCCCCATCCACAGGAAAGGGTGACGTTTCCAGAGAAAGAAAGTTCTAGTGAAACCACCTCACTGGAGAAATCAGGGCTGCCTTCTCCAAAAATAAGTTTTGGGTGCAATCATGACAGAATCCAACCCCTGTTCTAAAGTCAGCAGATTTCATGGGGCGCCTGGGTGGCTCGGTCGGTTAAGCCTCCGACTTCAGCTCAGGTCACGATCTCGCGGTCCGTGAGTTCGAGCCCCGCGTCGGGCTCTGGGCTGATGGCTCAGAGCCTGGAGCCTGTTTCCGATTCTGTGTCTCCCTCTCTCTCTGCCCCTCCCCCGTTCATGCTCTCTTTCTGTCTCAAAAATAAATAAACGTTAAAAAAAAAAATAATTAAAGTCAGCAGATTTCAGTGTTAGGGACTGTGAATTTTGGCACCACTTTAAAGTTTTGTATTAGGTTAAATAACAAATGAAAAAAATACTAAGGAATTAAGAAAAAGCCAAATGTGATTTATATTTGAAAATTTGAAGGAACTGTTATAAACAAACAAACAAAAAGTTACAAAGAGTTGGCTGATGTTTGTTAAAAGGAGTAACAGGTGGTCTTTTGTATGGAAACAAGCTCCAAAATGTAAGTTTTCCATGATTTGCAATGAATTATGTCCCCATGTCCTACTATAAATCTGACATAACAGCTTGTGCTCTATCGACAGCTCTGGCCGTGGTGAAGAGCGTACGAGTGGACACTGTTTGCAACAAGAAAGCTGCTCTCGTAGGTGCCAAATGGTTCACCGGCTTCTACGAGCCTTGTCAAGTCGCCAAATTCACAATCCACAGAATGTGCCACGCAGGATGGAGGCGAGCCTGAAAACGTGGTGAGCCACATGCTGGGAAGACAATGGTGTGGATACACGGAGTTAAGTTAGACATCATCAGCATTTAACCTCACCGGTTTCCATCTTATTAAAATACTGCTTTTAGAAAACGTGAAACGGCGTGTGCGGCTTGCACTATACTTCCACGGGATAGGAAGGGCGACTGACGTGGAAATTACAAACCACCACCATAAACATGGTGATTACGACCTTCAGCCACGGCTGAGCATTTGTTGTAAGTTCTACGTGGGGCCGGGGGTGGGGGGGCAGGTTCGACCCTTAGACTGGCTCAGGAGGCAGCTGCCTGCACGTCCAGAGCCATGTCCAAAGGAAAGCCACCAGTGAGCCACCTCTCTGTGCTGACCCAAAGTGGATTCATGCATGGCTCTGATCTCCTCCCCACCCTGTCCACTTTTGTTTCTAACAAAGCCCTTTTTCGAGTGACTCATTTTCCCAAACGATCCAGGGTCTAGCTATAGCAGATGACCATGACCATGGGGTCAGGGATGGGAGCGCCATTACCCAGACCAGATCAGCTGATGAGGAGTCCAGTGTCCCGGTGTCACCCCAGTCGACCATCTGAGGGCTCTGCCCCCATGCTGCCATTCCTGTCATTCTATGGGGTTAGAACAGCTCTGTCTTCCTCCCCTGCGGGGGTGGGTCATCTGTGAACACGCCCAGATCATCTCTGAGTCTGCTTGTGTGTTGCAGGGTGGTCTCCTCCTCCTTAGGCTGCCTATTTGTGCCTCCAAGGGGTCCAGGCAGATTCCACCCCCACTGTAAACGGGAGAGACCATGGGGGCCACATTGGGGAGGGTCGAAAAGGTGACGTGGACCTGTCCCTTACTTTTGCGCAGCTTAGCGCTTACGGAGGACACACCACACCCAGCGTGTCGGCACCGCTGCAGCAGCTGGGGAAACTGTAGCTGAAGGGACCTGAGAGGTCCTTCCCAGGACAGGTGACAGTCATCACTCTGGAGGGCCACTGAGAGACCACGGAGGAGGAACAGTCCCCAGGACAAATGAATGCTATGTGTAGAGGGTGGAGAAAGTCAGCACAAAAGATTAAGGAGAAATCAGGACGGCATCACAGAGCCGAAGACTGTCCGCTGGGCAACACTGTCAGGAAAGCTGAGGGAGGAGCCAATGGAGGAAAGAGAGGAGAAAAGCAGGGTGGACATGTTTCAGGGCCTTGGGTAACTGAACAGACCCTCAGGAGCCCAGGCACTATGCTTCCTACTGCAGCACGCCTGGGAGTGCAGAGGAGTCAATCCAGGGAATGGGGTCCACTAGGCCCTAACAGAGGTCAGGGAAGCAGGAGCACTTTCTAAGACTCTTCCTGGGGAACAGTCTTGAACAGACACAAGAATAAATGACCCACCGGGTCACCTCAGCCCACACGGCAACTCAAGGTCATCAGAGCCTCCATGGTCATTTCCAGGAGCCACATCACATGGACGCTGGCCTGATGACTGCGTATCCAAATGAGAAACCCAGTTATGTGACTGGCATTGCCTTTTACTGGTCTCTGATCTATTACTTTAAATGGCAAGAGGTACCTCTGCACATTAAGATTTTGGTATTTTGCAACTCTGAATAGCCATAATTTCTGACAACTGTATATACCCATACTTGTCAAGAGACCTATTTCTAGTTCTCAGACTTTATTTCCACAGCAGAAAAATAAAAGTTAATGGGGCGCCTGGGTGGCGCAGTCGGTTAAGTGTCCGACTTCAACCAGGTCACGATCTCGCGGTCCGTGAGTTCAAGCCCCGTGTCAGGCTCTGGGCTGATGGCTCAGAGCCTGGAGCCTGTTTCCGATTCTGTGTCTCCCTCTCTCTGCTCCTCCCCCGTTCATGCTCTGTCTCTCTCTGTCCCAAAAATAAATAAACGTTGAAAAAAAAAATTTTTTTTAAATAAAAAAAAAAAGAAAAATAAAAGTTAACTATATGAAGGCTTTCGCATCTAATTTTACTGTTAATACTACTTGCTAGTATATATAAGCCCTTATTCTTAAGTCCTCCTGTGAAACAATACTGAAGAGCTTGCTTTTCCAAAGTGAGATGTCAACACAAACCTTAATTACACTTGGAAAATAGAAAAGACTTTCGTTCCCAAGGACTGAAGTCTATAATGAAAGCACAACTTCTTACTTACAGGAGAGTAGTTCACTAATAAGAGACAAAAACGTGCCACAGATCTGACCCATTCCCTGTATTTTGGGGGGGAAATAATGCAAAAAAGATACTGCTGAAACGATCCATAAAGATCTCAGTCAAAATAGCCACAGATAAATAACATGAAGGACATCACATAGGACTGAAGTCAAAGGGTTACGGTGGGAAGAAGACAAAGCCACAAGACAGGGACTGGGAAATTTGAGTTCAGCGTGCCTCACCCTACAGTTGAGCAGCGTGTACAGGACGTGGTCGGGGGTGGTCTGCGCCCTCCACTGCAGGACCTCCGACAGAAACAGGAACTGGAACAAAGCACAGCCGTTAGGCCCCGGCCATCCCGTCACCCTGCGTTCAGATTTAAACTCACACCTCTAGATCAGGCTAGCTTCGGTGCTTTCAGGTGACTTAAAGCATCGCTTTTCCATGGAGGAAGGAGGGCCTCCCCGTCACAATCAGAAGAAGAATCCGGCACTTACAGGGTTTTTCCTGCGTGACCTGGATTCCCATGTCTGGCTGGGATTCGCAAGTCACAGGGGCCGGCGCCGCGCCTGGTCAGAGACATCTCCCCACAACCTGCCGAAGGCTGGGAGGCGCACTCCCGGAATGCAAGGGGCAGCCAGCACAGAAAATCCCTTCCGGCCTCCCAGAAGACGGTGATTTCTGGGGGCTGTGATGGCAAGATCAGACCTATGCTGCTTTTGAACTGGGCTCTCTCACACGTGTTGTTTCCAAATGGTCATTCCCTGAGGTCTCCCAACAGCACTGCAAATCACACGGATCACTGTACCCTACCGAGTCAGTGTGGAGAGGGAAGGTCAGCCCCACCTCAGGTCTAATCACAGGAAACACCTGGGTAGATCCCTTAATCCACTTTTTTAATAGAAATGTACTCTGAGGTCTGAACATGGTAACCAAGTGCTTTCAATAAACGTATTTCTATTTGTTACCAAACTGACAATATTTTAAACGGTTGACTTTGTCATGTTTCCTGGTAGCTCATACAGACAGGGGTCACCTTTTGGTGAATCATCAGAGTCCTCAAGTCTGCATGGTGATAATGGGGAACGCAGTACATGTGACAAAATGTGACATGTATGCTGGGTGTGGCCCCAGATTTCTCCTCTAGCCCCCGAGGTCACGTTAAGGACGCCAGTTTGCCAACCCGGGTTTCTCACTTCTGTTCTCTTGAATTCCAGCAGTTAGAGGGCCGAAGCCTTTTGCCTCGAGGCCGTCTGGGTGTCACGCCAGGGCTGGCAGGCTCATCAGGAACGAGCGCCCCAGGATGCCAGGACAGAGCGGGCCTCGGGCCTCAGCTCGTGCGCGTGTCTCCTCCCACCCCCTTGACCCTGTGCAGTGTCCCGCAACACGGCACCCCCACCACACACATCTTTGTGGTGAGACCGTACGGACGTGCGTGCAGGACCGGGAGGGCAGGACGCCCAAGTTCAGGGGCGGGCGCTGAGCTGGCCGTCAGTGTCGTCTGGAGCAGTGTGCCGGCACAGGGCTCGGAGAGGAACCCCGTCCGCCTCTCACCTTGCGGGCCTGATCATTGTCCTCTATCTGGCCCAGGTCTCTGCCGCTGGCCTGCGCAATCCTCTTCCCAGACACCAGGTTCCCCACCATCACAGAGGCAGGGCCAATTTCTGGAAAGAATGTGAGGAAACAAGTCAACTTAAAACATGACCGCGCACCTCGGCAAAGAGCTGGCTCCGGGGAAACCCTCTGAAAGGCCGAGCTCTGAGAAAATCTTATCAGAACAGGGCTTCCAGTGCGTCCCAACAATGAGGATGATGGCAGACACGAGCGAGTCTCGATTACAGGGTAAAACAACGTTTTCCCCAGATCCCGGTGGCGTCTCCCAAACCCGCTGCTGTTACTCTAATGCCAGTTGGTGGGATGCTGCGATCCGTCCACTTGGATGATTGTGAGAAATAATGCTGAAGATAAGGCAGTAAACCGTGACGTGTCTCACTGCGAAGCAGTCAGGACTCTGGGATCACCTGTATGGTGTTCCCCAGTGTCCCTGCTTGTCACTGAGCGACCACCGACATAAACTATTGCACATTTTTTATAAATACCTTTATAACGCAGGGGGTAACGCCGCACGGGCACAGTCACCTATCTCACTGACGGAACAGCTCTGGGCTCTCGCTGGCCCCGCAGAGATACGGGAGACCAAGCCCAGAGGCTCCTGTTGAGCCAAAGTTCCTCTTATACCACCATTACAGACTCAATTACCAGCAGTCCTTTTACTGTTTATGAAACATTTCACAAGAAAAAAACCAGATGCGATCTAGTCTGACAGCTTTCTCTTCTGTTTCAATGGAAGAAACAAGTTTCCTAAAAAACTGCAGAAACTCTTTCACAATGTCTAGCTGCAGGAAATCCTGGGCACCCCCCAGGTTTCTCAAAACACAATCATTCACTTGGTTTTGATCACACACACGTATGCACGTTTACCAGGGAAGGGTCAGCCGTGAGTGTGTGTGACACAAATGGCGGCAAGGAGTCAGGCAGGGAGCTTAAAGAAGGGAGTGGAAATAACAAAGACGTCAGCCACGTGTGTTTAGTCCGTGGTTTAATAAAATACAGTTGAAGGTCACTACTGAATCAAATTCTTGTTTCACCTTTGCCAAAGGCCACCTCACAAGCTTCTGAATCACGGCATATGTTGCCTTCTGTTATTGCACATGGAGAGCCGTGTGTCAGCAGGTAAGAAAGTCTTAGGTTCGGGTTCAGGGGCAGAGGCCAGCAGCTGCCGGGATGATGACCCCCAGGCACCCTGGGAAGATGGGCAGGGCACGGGCTGACGCCTCCAGGTGACATTCTTCTCTGCAGACACGTGCCCATCCAGAGTTGGGCTGCCGTAAAATATTCAACGTTTTGGGAGAAGGCAGGCACTTCCAGCAGGACTGAAATCGGGAAAATGGCCCAGGACACAGATCTCTGGGCCCCTGCTCACTGGCTTCATCGTAGGCAATCTGTAGGCGCCGTGACGCTGTTTCTGTGGAATCGCAGGATGCACCTTCTATGCTCTGCCACAGCAGGTCTGAATGGTCAGGTGTGGCAGATTGGGACCGCCTGCATTTTTCTCAGCTGGTGATAAAGACACTGCAACAGAGGAGCGGTCTTTCCACATTTAACAAGATGAAAAGACAAGGCAGCGTGGCGTACGGGGAAGCGAATGTGGCTGCTGCGTGGATGGTGCACAGGCTCAACCTGGAGCCCAGCCGACTGGCCCTCCGCTTCCTGACTTGGCGTCTGTGGCATTCTCCTTGGTCCCGGGGGTGGGCAGGAAGGCTCTTCTGAGAAGCCCACCTGGCCTAAACTGGCTTGAAGTCTTCTCCGTAATTTTTTAAGAATTCAAACTAGGGTGGGAGAAGCACTATTCTGAGGTGCCGGCAGCTTGCCCCTCCTTCCCCAGGGCTGGTCTCTACTGGATGTGAAGCTCAGACCTCACATATTGCTCCCCCGAGGTAGACTTAAGAATTACTTTTTTCCAAATGGTGCTGGGAGACAGGTGCTTTCCTGTGGCATTTATTTGCAAAATCTGTCCCCCTCCCAAGAACCAAGGGTCTCCCCGCCTTGCCAAATGAGGTGGGTGTGGTGCAAGACACCCTCACAGACTTCACCGCCTCAGGATTTGAAAACATAAGGTTGAAGAGCGCCTGGGTGGCTCAGTCAGCTGAGCGTCTGACTCTTAATTTCAGCTCAGATCATGATCCCGGGGTCATGGGTTCGAGCCCCATATCAGGCTCTGCGCTGAGTGTGAAGCCTGCTTGGGATTCATTCATTCTCTCTCTCCCCCTCCCTCCTTCCCCTGCTCCTACACTTTCTCTGTAAAATAAAGTAAAACATTAAAAAAAAAAAAGAAAATATAAGGTTGAGATGGACCCAAAAATAGGTACTGAAGTTCACATTTGCGTTCTCTCCCTCCCCTCCCACTTACAGATGCAGAAATGGGCAGGTCGGGAGTTTTATCTCAGAGTTGTCCTCTTCCTATTGCTACCCGACTGTGTCACGCAGGGGACACACAGCACATAGTGTCCTGTGGGTGCAGAAGCTGCCAGCCCGGCCGCACTCCTCCCCTTCTGCCCAGCAGGCGCGGTGCTGTCTGCGGCTGCTCCCCCTGCTGCGCTCTGGCTGCTCAGATACACTGTGTCCCAGGGGCTGTTAACACTGGGAGCTGTATTTCAAGTTGGTAAATACTGCTGGTACCCCAACTAATGGGTTAAAGGGCTTTTTTATTTTTTTTTAACGTTTTATTTATTTTTGAGACAGGGAGAGACAGAGCATGAACAGGGGAGAGTCAGACAGAGCGAGACACAGAATCTGAAACAGGCTCCAGGCTCTGCGCTGTCAGCACAGAGCCCGACGCGGGGCTCGAACTCACGGACCGAGAGATCATGACCTGAGCAGAAGTCGGCCGCTTAACCGACCGAGCCACCCAGGCGCCCCAAAAGGGCTTTTAACATTTTGTGCTCCGTTAAGATACTCTCACACACACGTTGTTAGCTCAGTAAATATGAATTCATCTGCTAAAAGAGGCAACTAGATCATCTACAAACTAAGTTTTAGGAGCTTTGTTTCAAGTATCTAGCAACACCCTCATGGAAAAATGGCCTCACTAAATGCTTTGGCCACAACAAGTACTTGTTCACAGTCTGTAAGTGTCTTTTCCAAAGGAGACTTAAAACTCACCACATCCAATCCCCTCATTACATTTATGGAAACTGAGGCTTCAGGGAAATGTCACCTGTCTGAGGTACGTTATAGGTCGTTAGCTGAGGCAGGGAAGTGAACCAGCACCTCATGCTGTCGTTAGTATTTGTCAAAAACAGCTTTTATTCGGGGGCACCTGGGTGCCTCTGTCAGTTAAGCGTCCGACTCTTGATTTCGGCTCAAGTCGTGATCCCAAAGTCACGGGATTGAGCACTGTGTCGGGCTCTGTGCTGACAGTGCAGAGCCTGCTTGGGATTCTCTATTTCCCCCTCTCTCTCTGCCCCTGCCCTGCGCGCTCTCACTCTCTCAAAACCAAAGAAGTAAACAAACATTAAAAAATAAAAAAATATTTCCTTACAATAAGCAATCACATAAAGCTTCATTCACCATGCTGCGGCCGTGAGATCTAAACAGCCCCAACCTCCCAGCTCATCCTTTCTTCCCAGGGGAAGAAGGCTGTCCTCAGGTGCCCCGACACTGCTCTCGAGCAAAGCACCTTGGCCTTTTCATTCGGTCAGGTTTTGCCTTGACATCCGACAGGTGCACTGAGCCCCGCAGTTCTGGAAGCACATCAGGCCTTTGCCAATGACCCCCACCATGAGTATCTGTCCTGAATTCTGCCGTGAGCTTCTCTGCACCCGGGACCACTGGTGGCCAGGCCCCCAGTGGAGGTGTCTGATGGTGAACGGAGGTGGGCAGGAGACAGGGAGAAGTCAGTCGCTGCCGAATGTGTGCAAGGACACACTAAGGAGCCTGCCACCATGATCGATTCCGTTCACAGACCCCAACACACCCACATGGAGCCACTGCTCTGACCTTCCCACGGCTGTTTATGCCCTGAGACAATAGGAGATAAAGAGGTGATTTTTCATCGTTTCGATATGCCCACAGAAAGGCAACGCTTTGTGTTCTGGGGGGCTCGTCGCTTGCAGCCAGTGTGCCCGCGAAATGTAAAGAAATGGATACTCCGTCAGTGGTAACTTTATGTTTTGCTATTGCAGTTGTATAAGCCAAGGACTGAGAGGAAAAAGAAACGAAGGGAGGTATCAGGGGATCTAGAACCTAGAATGTAAGAAAACAACAAACAGCACAGAAATCCGAAGAAAACCAAAAAGCAGAGATAACTGCAAAGCCAAGGTGCCCAGAAAGCAGACAAGGACTCCATACTTTCCAAGAGAACCCACGCAGAGGAGAGAACCGCAAGGCTACGTGTACGTCCTCACGAACACACGTGCATCGTGGAGGGGGTAAGGACAAGGGACACAGGCTCTGTCTGTATGCGTGGGGCAACCCTTTCTTCCTGCAGCATCCGCGTCCTCCCCTCACCCTACTGAGGACCACCCACCCACCGTCTCATCCGATCTCACTTACGGGGCGTCGGCCTCAGTCCCTACATTTACCACCAGGTGGGCTATGCCCAGAGTTGACCCAACGGTGTCTGGCTGACTCGTCGTCAGCTCTGCCCTGCAGCCGCGCTGTACTGGGTGGAACCAACAGTCAGCGGGTCTGGGTCTGCCTCTGTCACACTCTGGCCCCATCAACCCCCCGCCTCTCTGTGACCCATTCTCCTCATTTGTGAAACAGGGACAGAAGAGTGCCTACCACGCAAGCCTCCATGAGAAGAGACGCGTTAACTAGTACAACATGCTGAAACAGTGGCCGTGGGGCCAGCACAGCCCGAGTGTGTGACCCCACCGCCGGCCCCTCCCTGCTTGGACGCCCTGGGACCTCCGGTCACTGCACCAGCAGAAAACCTGGGCCCTCACCTCCCACGGTCTGGAGATAAATTTTCTCTCACTGATGACTATGCAGCCTGAAAGAACATAACTGATTAGTTGCTAGGCATCGAAGTCAGATAAAGGGTAAGTACATGTTCCCCAAACCCCCAAGTGCTAGACACACATTCACTCTTACAACGTCACAAATGAATTTCTAGACTTCCACACAGGCTTCAAGAGTTTCCCACGTTTATTAGGCTTTGACACCTAAATAACCCATGAGACAGGTAAGGAAGCATTATTCTCATCTGAAGGAAACCGTGACTGAGAGCTTCCATGCCTGGTAAAATGCCACCCAGCAGACCGAGGGTCAACTACTCCACTGGGATCTACATAGGGCTCCTTCCCAACATGCCCCCAGGTGCCGGGCTCCCAGCCAACCATGCTGTCCCAGGAGAGCCCCTCATCCACCATCCAGTGGGGCAGGTTTATGCCGTGGGAGTGTGGAGACCAGGACAGGAGTGGGGTTAAGAACCACCTACAGGCATGGGGCCTGGTCCACAGGGCACCAACAGCACCTGGTTCCAGAGAGCCACCCAGATTCCACACAACTCTCCAGGCCATGGGACATACCTGGCTGCTTCTGTCGAGGTTTAGGCAAGTTTGTGACACAGGTATGGGGACACATCAGGACGTTGCAGGGGTGGAGTGAGCCCTCCAGGAAGAGCTGCTTCGTTTCTGACAAGTGGATCCCACCGAGTGGGGTTTTGGGGAGGGTGTTTGCTGGAACCAAGGCCAGGCAATAAACCCCAACTTGATGTATGCTGTCAATTGCCTGGAAAGTCATGAGGGAGGAAGTGGGTTAGAACAGGTGCCACAGACACGAAGCCAATGTTCAGACGGTGCAAAGTCCCATCTGTAACGTGAGCAAGCACACGCCATCCGAGTGGGGTGAAGATGCCAAGAGAAGGGGTGTCTCTCCAAATCCAGCCAAACTGGCTCATTTTATGTGGGATCTGTGGAATACCACATGCACTAAGAAGGGAAATTTTGAGGAAAAAAATACACTCACGTGAATGGTGGGAGCTAGTTTTGCAGACCCGTGACCCCTGATCTTGGTCTGCTCACTTATTTTCCAAGAATGAAATACACATTTCCCGGTCGATGCAATTTCTGATCCAATGGGGCAACGGTCGGGGAGCACCGGAGCACCGTTGGTGGGGGTTAAGGGAAGCCGGCGTGGAAGCAGGTGAGGGGCCCCGGGGCAGGAGCGGAGCTATACCTGCAGCACCCTGCTCATCCACTGGAAGCTGTCCTCCTCCGTGGAGTCTGGCCTCTGCTCGGCCACAATCACTATCCTCTCGTCGTGCAGGACAGTTACGGAAAACACAGCTATCCTGCGAGGGCAGAAAGGAGCAGGTGCGGTGAGCACGTGCTGTAGATGCCGCCCAAGGCACTGTTCATTCCGCTACTGAGGGCAGAGCCCAGGAGAGCACAGCGCCGGCCTCTGCTCCGGCAAACCTGTGAGGGGACAGGCCCCGCTTCTCAGGGCAGACGGAAGGTGCTGGGCTGTGGACGTCAGAACCGCGCACAATCCACATCTTGGGTTGCACCTGTGAAGTAAGTCTCCACATCAAGGGAAACTCTGGGATGAACGAGTTTCTGCCTCTCTCTCGGGAAGCACAGCACCACGTGACTCGGACCCCCAGAGTCCCCCCTATCACACAGAGGCTGCCCTGGCTCCGTGAGTTAAACGGGGCAATGCTACATCCACGTGTCTGTCACTTCCACTCTCACTGGCGTGCCGGGCGGCAGTAAGGCTCTACAGGAGTTCATGCCTTCCTTCACGTGAGCCAAAACCCGGGGAGCCGCCACCGTGAATTAGTATTTACTGTGCCCAGATCATCAGGGAGAAGAGGCCACAGGACTCCATTCTCCCACACAACTGTTGCTCGACTATTACCTTGGGGTCTTTGGAGATGATCTGCTCCAACATGAATTTTTGGCTGTTCCCTTTGTGTATTTCTTTAAAACACAAGTCTTTCAAACAGATATTTTTATTTGACTCAGAGGAGAAGTGACGAAAATTACGTATGGAGCTCAGGAAATTTCTATAAAATTGGGCATTCAGAACTAGACAGAACGTCAGAGGTCACTCACTCCCACAACTAAGGAATTTGTGCAATTTTATATAACCAGTGTCGTCTGCAGACAACCCAGGGCTGAATTCCCAGAGGGCACACGCACACCCACCTTCCTCTGTAGACGAATTTCATGGGCTCCACGGCCAGCGCTGTGGCGACGATGTCGTCCGCGTTGTGTCTGCGCCCGCTGACCACCATGAGCCCGTCCATCTTGCCCACCACGAAGACGAGCCCTCCGGGGCCGACGAAGCCCAGCAGGCCTGTCCTTACGAAGGGGTACTCGCTGACAGGGGCCCCCGAGCTCGTCACGGGGAACACCTGTAGACACACGAGTGGTGAGTGCCCAGGGGTGCCCACCGCCACCCTCCTCCCTGGAGCCCATTGGAGAAGCCCCCCCTACCCCCCAATGCTCATCCCCCACGGTCCACATGCAAGGCTGTCCACCAGTTTCCTTCTACAGCATCCACGCCTAAGAATCGATACCGAGATCATGATGACAGTCTAATAAATGCTAATTAATTATTCTGCTTTAAATCCACAGTGTAAAAGTGATGAATGGAAAACCAAAAACGTGCGTAAGTTGTAAGATGATCCCTACTCATTAACGTTTCCTTATGAGGACTACACCAAAAAGGGAAAATACAAACGGGGCAAATCAGTGTTCTAAGCCTGCACCTGTTTCCTCAGACCCTGCAGGTAAGTCACAGGAAAAAGGAGAGGGGTTTTCTACAGACTCCGGCTAGCTGGGCTTCAGGGACATTTTAGAACCTGGAAGCCACATTCAACAAAGCACCTCATCACATCATGCTCTAAGAAACGAACCCCTAAGCAACCCGCATTTGCTTCTTCTTTTCTTAAATGTTTATTTATTTTTGAGAGAGAGAGAGACAGAGACAGAGCGTGAGCAGAGGAGGAACACAGAGAGAGGGAGACACAGAATCTGAAGCAGGTTCCAGGTTCTGAGCTGTCAGCACAGAGCCCCACGCAGGGCTTGAACTCACGGATGATGAGATCATGACCCAAGCTGAAGTCAGAGATGCTCAACCAACTGAGCCACCCAGGCGCCCCAGCAACCCACATCTTCTTGTGCATAGTTTATTCGAAAGTGTGCTCCTCGTAAGGTTAAGTATCACGTGGTCAAATGATAGCAATTCTGGGAAACTGAGGTGCGGCACAGAGTTACCACTTAACCGCCCACAAGGCCAGTGTGCGTGTCCGTACGCACGGAGTGCACTAACAGCAAGCCACCCACGCGTGCAAACAAGACACAAGTATGTGTGGACGCCTAACACACACACACAGCATATGCCACACGTGTGTGCATACACACCCGCTCATGCCGTGGAGACAGTTACTTCACGTGTGCATTTGCTCACACCTGGCCAAGTCTGGCTTCAGTGGGCGGGCCGGGCCACAAGGGAGGGGCGGGTCTGTGCCAGGTGTGCTCAGCCCTCATTCCTCAGCCTATCAGCTGCAGCACTTACTCAAGAGGCTAACGTAAGAACAGCACGACATACAAAAGGACTTTTTTTCAATGTTTATTTTTGAGGGGGAGAGAGAGAGCACGCGTGAGCATGAGCAGGGGAGAGGCAGAGAGAGAGGGAGACACAGAATCCGAAGCAGCTCCAGGCTCTGAGCTGTCGGCACAGAGCCCCATGTGGGGCTGGAATTCACAGACCACGAGATCATGACCCGAGCCAAAGTCAATGCTTAACCGACTGAGTCAGGTGCCCCCCAAAAAGCCCTTTTTAAAGAAACTGTTCTTGCCCTTTTTCAACACTGACTATGAGGTGAAAAAAGCTGATAAGCTAAATTCTTTGAAAATTATTTTTAAAAAAAGGCAGCAAGAAGTGCAGCCATCTTAGTTCCTAAGAGTATATTTGGCTGAGAAACTACCACCTTATCTTTCATGTCTGTGCACCTGGCATTGGGGCTCAGCTCCATGACCCCACCGAGTGTATGTAGTCATGTCCTGAGAGGTCAGTGAACATCAGGAGCAGTCTCAGTAACAATGCATACCCTGCCAGAGCTCCCATTCATCCAGTTCTACAGCTGAGGAATGCAACCGCTCACTGAACTACGATGGCCATATGCATCAGCTCATGCAAATATTAGAGAGGGAGGAAGGAGGAAAGGGACAAGAGGAACCCTAAGGGACAAGTGTGAGGAAGGACAGACAAAGAAAGACAAAGGAGGAAGGATATCAGAGAGCTAAGAACAAAAGAGGACAAAAGTCGGGAGGACAGAGAAAGACAGGAAGGAAAAGAGAAAGAACAGAAGGACAAGAATAAAGATAGAAAGGACAAGTGGAAAACAAGGACAAAGAGAGGACCAAACAAACAAAGAGGCATATCGGGGCGGGGCAGGGGGACGGAAGAAATGACTGAACACAGGGAGAGCACAGTGAGCGGAAACCGCATTTGGAACAGGAGTGTGAAGGTAAAAGGGAGGCCAGGCTGGTCCTGGTCTTCCCTGAAGTGAGCCATGAGCTTTCATGTTCCAGGAAAACATCCACTTACACAGCTATGGTGTAAGATTCTGACGGCTTGAACTTTAATGTGCAAATCGTACTGAGGGGATGGACTTCTCCCATCTGGACCAAAAGACACCTGGGAGGAGCCCAGGGCCCCCCCGCACACGGACCCTCTGTTCCCTGCAAGCCCCGCGCTCCCCTTCCAGTCATCCGGGAGCCCCGGCCGGCACATCAGGAGGCAGCGTGTGCAGCGCCCTGACGGCCTCGTGTGCGCATTTGTGGGAACGGTTCCCTGACTTTTAAAAACGGGCTCTTCTGCTAGAACCAAGCATTGCTCATCGTCTGGAGCCCTGTCCCTGGATTTTTATACCATCTGCTACCAGCCTCAGTGCCCAGCTTTGTCCAAAAGGTGGATGGCCGGCGGGAACTTGACCCTTGCAGGGAGAGAAGCACCCCATGGGCTGCAGGGGCACGGCATGGCCCACGGCGCCCCCTAGGGGAAAGGGCCCCGGGATCCCAAGCATGGGAGGTGGCAGACATGCCCCGTGAAGCTTCCTGAACGTTCTTTCATCAGGAGAGGCGCAGCAGTGACAAGCCCGGATTTAAGTGCTCCGTCTGACCTCGCGCCAGAGGGGCACGGTGGTCCCGGTGGGAAGCAGCCCACTGAACACGGCTGGGGCTCCTGACTCGACCCCCGCCCCCAACGTGTGCAGCCCAGCGTCCACACTCACCGCCAGGCATCACGAGGCCGACATCCTGCACGGTGAGCACAGACAGCTTTTCTTCGGAGTCCACCCGGATGACCCCGTAGGTAAGCCCATGCATGGAGAGGACACCCCGGCCTGGGGGCTGGTTGCTGTCATCTGTGGGCCTGAAAGAGCAGTTTTGTCTGAACACATAGGAGCAAACAAGCCACCATCACCAGAGAGGCATTCAAGTGCACGCACACCAGAGGCAGCCAGACACGTCTGGGGTCCCAAGGATCCCCGAAGCAGATCTGAATGCCACACTGTCCTGTGTTCTTAGCGTGCCAAGGGGTGCTGGTTGTCTGTCTGTGAGACGTCAACATCATTAACTCCGTCTCTGGAGTGCCCCTCCCTTACACGTATCAGCTATCGACTGATTCCTTCCCTCCCCTCTCTCCGCAGGTCTGATTTTCCAGTTTTGAAAGTGGCTAACAAGGGACCACAATGTCTCCAAGAACACGGATGATGGCAGGGAGCAGAAACAAGGGAGGTGGGGTGGCCTGGGCTCAAGTTGAGACGTGCACTAGGCAGACAGAAGCTCATGGTGCAGGAATCTGAAATGCCAGGCCACGCCATTCTGCATGACAAGCTTGGGGAAGTCTCTCTTCACAGAAGGCACGTGGTGGAATGCTTTCACTCCACCTTCAGCCCGTCTTCTCCATGGCCCCCGCCACTCCAGCTCACTCCACGCCAGCCCCAGGCCCTTTATCCAGCACCCAGCCCACCCCTTCTGGGGGCTTTCACACTTGTCTCTGCCTCCATGTGGAATGTTCTTGGAGCAGACATCCCCCTGGCAGCTCAAATACGCAAGTACTCATTACCCCCCAAGACGGCACAGTAGGGCCACCTGACTACCCACACCAGGCCTCCTGCATCAGAGTCTCTGCTCCCCGAGGGTTCCCTTCTGTTCACTGCATAGCCTTACCCCTGGCGAAGTGTGCAGTAATAAAGGTCTGTTGACTAATCACTGAATAAATAAAATATTTCCAAGAACATGGATTTTGTCCCTGTAACTAAACAATCTTCCATGTGGGCTAAGTGAGGCACACTTTAGGGAAATACCACACTTCTTTTTCTAATTTTCTGCATACACATGGGTAGCATCTTTTTAGGATCTAAAAGTTAGAAAATAAACAGAAGTTTGCTGTTTAGCTTTAAAACTGATAAATCTTGATAATGTTTCAAGAAAATATCAAGATTTATAATGAACCTAGAAATACAAGTAGAGAAACATAAAGGTTAAAATGTGCAAAAGGAGGGGTGCCTGGGTGGCTCAGTCAGTTGAGCACCTGACTCTTGATTTCAGCTCAGGTCATGATCTCACAGTTCATGGGATCAAGCCCCACATCAGGCTCTGCATTGAGCACAGAGCCTGCTTGTGATTCTCTCTCGCTCCCCCTCTGGCCCTCCCCCACTTGCACTCTCTCTCAAAAAAACAATGTGCAAAATATCTCATTTGAATCAAGTAACTAGGTATTATAAAAAGAAGCATATATTATAGGTCAATTATACCTCAAATAAAAACAATAAAAATAAATAATAAAAAGGAAGCATAAGAGAGTCTGGAAATTGAAATGGTTCTGTCTGTGAAGCATCCAAAAGGGTAGCGCTAACCAGAGACAGAAGAAAAGTCTGCCCAGTGATAAGGTCCACCCAGAACTACCCGGAAATGAGCCCCAAACACTGGAATCTATATTGTTCCGCAGGGTGAGAGAGAGGAGCCCCGCAGCAACCCTCTGCTGCTACGAATCCCTGACCCCACTATTGTCCTTGGCCAAAACACAAAGCGAGAGTCTTAAATCAGAATGCTCACAACAGAATGCTGTTGTGGACTGAGTTGTGTCCCCAAAGCTGTGACCAGTCCTGGTCCCGGTACCTTGACTGTCACCGTATTAACATGAAAGAGGATCTTTGTGGACGTCATTAGTTAAGATGAGATCCTGGAATCGGGACGGGCCCCAAATGCAATGATCGGTGCCCTTACAAGAGGAGACACAGGCGTCATGTGACAATAGCAGCCATACAGCAAGGACAGGGGTGCCAGCAGCAGCGGGAGGGCCTGGAGCAGATGGGCTGTGAGAGCCCCTGGGAGCACCCGGCCCTCAGACACCTTGATCCCGGGCTTCTGGCCCCCAGAACTCTGAGGCAGCAGGTTCCCCTTGTGTCACACCACCCGGGAGGGGCGGAGGCACTTACGACAGCCCCAAGAGACAAACGCACCAAGGAACGGGATTTAAAGGTACACGTATTTGGCTGGAACGACCACAGGATAGCAAAAGGCTGGCGTGGCCATGACTCAGCCCAAGCAAGGGGTACAGGGGGACCGGGATGGGCCGCGCCCGTGTGCCAAGAGGGAAAGGCTCTCTTAATGTTCAAGGATGCAAGTTCTGGGGTCTCAGGCACAAAACCTGCTTTCCTAGAAACAAGACTCCCTGGAGCACAATTATGAACCGTGTTTGCTACAGGAAACCTTCAACTGTAGGTGTAAAACGAAACTATGGAAACTTGGGTACATGCACTTAAAATGTGAACCAATGACACCACTCAGGTTTTACTTTGATCTACAGCTATATGTTTATATTTAACAGAGTCCCTTGCTCGTCAGAGAAATCTCAGACATGCTCAGCCAACAGCCCTGCCTCCCGATGACACAGCTCTGCTCAGCTGGCACCTGGGTGTGTCCAACTGTCCCGAGCCCTCTGCACACAGAGACTCGCTCGGCAGGTACACCCGCACGGCACCACTGTCCTCCACTTTACAGACCACAACTGCGGGCTTGGGCACGTTCAGTTCATCATCTGCATCCCTGTGGGGCTTGGTGGGATGCAGACCCACAGCCCCAGTTAGGGACAGCTTCCCATCTCCCTTTCCTGCCTCTGGCCTCAAAGACTGAGCACTTCTTAGTTCACGGCACACTTTTCTTTTGAGGGAACTTTAGGACAAATGACACGAGTAACACAGGGGCAAATCCTTCATGTGGATGAGTGGGACACCGCACAAAAAGTCACAGCAAAGGCAAAAGCACCTGCCTGACCCCATCCCAGCCCTGCCTCACCGGCAGCCACAACAGATGATCCACCAGTTCCTTTAATCTGTATTTACATAAAATAGGTACATGTGCAAATACACCTGTATTTAAAAAAAGCAAAACCACAATAAGCATGTTCTCTTGCAACTTGCTTTTCCACCGAATGGATCTTGTGGATTTTCCTGTGTGCGTGTGTGTGATATAAACACTATGTATACCGCACATGCCAATGACCCGACCGGTCTTAATTGGTGGTGGTGTTCAATAATAGTGACATGTAGTCACTTTATTTCATTTCTATACAATTACAAATATGACTATAAAACACGTATCTAGAAAAAGAACTGAAGAATCAGAAAGTATATACGTTTAAAATTTTAATAAAGCCTATATAACTTCCCAAAAGACTGTCATCTTGCACGTCCACTCTAAGTACTGTTTTCCAATCTACCAGACGTGCACAGGGTACTGTTTTATGCAGGAGGCCACCGGAAGCATGTTGTGCACGTGAAGTATCTTACAGCAGCTCTGAGACACGCATGTCTGTTGTCCCCATTTACAGGCAAGAAGCGGAGTGTGTGAGGCAGTGGCATCTGGGGCACAGCTGTGGGGCAGACCCTGGCATCGAGCGCAGACTGGCCTCAAACCTGCGCTCGTGGCCACGGGGAAGGCGGCCTCCCAGCAGCCACTTCTGCACACCCGTGCCCACACAACCCTAAAAGTGTTCCCGCTTTGATGGTGAAACGCTGTTCCTCTGTTACTTTGGTTTGCATTTGAGTGATTATTAACAAAGTCAGCTTATCTTTCTCTCCATTAACACCTTCCTAGGAAACAAAAAGTCCAAGTAGACTAAACTAGATGAGGAAGTGAAAAAATGATACCGATAAGAATACCTAGAGATTTCAAAAAGATGTGGTTTCACAATCAAACACAGTATGACGAACAACGGCTGAGAGAGCTTGACCCGTTAGTCCCCCCAGGTTCAATGCCCAGATGACACAGAGGGCTGACTGCGTGGAAGAGCAATTCTTGCAGTTCCCAGGACTGCCGAGGGGGTCTCTGCGCACAAAGATACAGAAGGAAGGCAGCTGTGAGCGGCCAGCCCTGCGACCACGGGCAAATGGCACAAAGACCGAAGTGAAGAGACGGAAGACAGAAGGTGAGCACTGGCCTTGGCCTCAGGAGGAATGTTCCTGACGGCCAATGGCTTCAACGGGATAGTGTGCGCACCTGTTCCCTGGCCATGCCAGGGTTAGATAACCCTCAGGTAATCACGCTGTGTGACACCTGAAGAGGTAGCTATAAGTTTCAACTAACACGTCCACAGTTTGCTATCACTGGCCACGCTCAAATCTGTACCCACACGAAATAAACGCAGTCACGTAAGCCACAAGCATTTGGGACAATTTCCATTCTCAGGATGTAACGGGGAAGTGGCCACTACATCTCTAAGGGTTTAGCGCCACCGTCTCTCACTGCAGCCTCCTGCAGGTGCGACAACAAAGGTCCTTCCCTGCTTGCATCAGATGGAGGCAACCTCCAACTCCAGGAACGGTTGACTCAGGAACATCCAGAGAGCAAAGGGGTCAAGTCTCAGGAAACAGCCCTCTCCTTTGCCAATGTCAGGGTTGACTACAACATTTCCAAAGGGCATGTTGTCACGGGACGCACACGCCCAAGTACATGTGACACTATCATTAGCCTGAGCCCTGAATTCTTATGGGCACCATGCAGACCTTCAGCACTCTACATGCACAGATGTTCACACCGTCCTGTGACACAGGCCAGTGGTCACACCCCGTCACAGATGTGGACTCCGAGGACTGAAGGAGGCCCTATGCCGAGTGACAAAGCTGGCAAGAGGCAAAGCAAAGCACAAACAAGCCAGAATGGTGACCCGGGGTCAACAGACTCTGAAATGCATGGGGGGGGGGGGGGGCGGCGCTGGGCCAGGCTCACTGGACACAGAGCGTAAGGAGGTGTAAGTGCACACGTGGGGTCCGCACACGGGCATGAGAGTGGCTCCTGTAACATCACCTTCCTAGGAAATACATATTTGGAGCCACAGGGCCATCAGTCTGTGTGAGGGAGGGGCGC